AGGGTTTGGCACTAAGGGCTGTAGTTGGGAGGAGGCCACCAAATGTCCTGGGTGCTTCCAGTGGGGTCCTATAGGTCTCAGTCCTGTGCATCTCCCCATGAGCACATGGGGGGAGGGGAGGTTGCATCCTCAGGGAGGAGTAGGCTGGGAGCAGCAGCCCACCGTACTTTGGGAGAAACTATTAAATGTCTGTACATGATCTTTGGAGAGAAGAGCCCAGGCAGCTCTTGCTGTGGGAAAGGATCTGGAGGCTATGCTGGACACAAACCAGATTACAGCGCAGCATGGGGAAACCAGCAGTGCTTCCTGTGGGACTGGAAGGAGCAGGGCTGGGGGCAGAGCCAGCACAGAGCAGTGCTGAGGGATGGACACAGAGAAAGCACAGAGGGGGCTCAGAGAGTGCAGGGAAGGCTGGTAGAAGGCGGCTGATAGATAGGGTTGGGTGCTCACGGGTGCTGGGGTGGTAACATGAAGCATTTGTGCATGGGGAGTGCAAAGGAAAAAGTCAGTGTGTAATGGGGTGGAAGACTAACTTCTGGTGGGCAGGGTGCCTTCAGCACTACAGGTTTTGGGAAGCAAATGCATGGGGGGACGTGGGCACTGCAGCAGGGCAATGAGTTCTTGATCTCCTTCAGACTCCAGTTTGGTGTGTTCCCAAGGTATGCAAAACAGCGTTACAGAGAGAACAGCGTCCCTGGGACTAGGGCAAGAAGTGTCTGTGAGCACCAGAGCTTAGGAGATGCTCTCCAGCAGCAGATGCCAAATTGAAACGAGATGGGTGCTGGATGGCCAAGCATCTCCCTGGATGCAGCAGCAAAAGGCAGGGAGCAGAGGTGTGGTGGTGGCTGAACACTGCTGGCCCACAGCCACTAGTGGTAGCACTGGTGCTGCCTTTACCCCAGAGCTGGGGACTCAGTGGGGACCGGTGGGCTGGATACATTCCATCACTGTGAGGCTGGGGCTCTTGGTGCAGTCTGTTTGTTTGTGCTTGAACTGAGGGGAAGAAATCCCCTGGAGAGAAGGTTATAGGTCAGGATTGTTCCCTGGGGGCTGGGTCTGCCAGGCAGATTGGACATAACGAGGCTTGTTTTAAGGGTTGCTTAATTAGGCTTCCCTGCCCCACTCCGCTCTGCATGGACGGCCCTTCCTGGAAGTGCAGCACTTTCCTGGAGCAGAGCTGGCTGGGACAGGGATGGGAACACATGACAGGGATGGGGACACGTGCCAGGGATGATCAGAGGGGCACTGGGGCAGGTCAGGGGGGTCCCATGGGTCTGTCCCTTTCCTGGCCTTGTAGCAGGGGATGCTGGCCATGATGTCCTGACCCTTACACCCTGCTTTCTCCTCATCCTTGGGACACGGGCTGTGGAACAACCTTGCCCATGTTTCAACATTCCTCATGAAATCTCTCACAGAAATGATGCTGCCAAGCAAGCAGGAGGTGTGTGGTGCTGCTGCAAAGCAGGGTTGTACAGGCAGGAGGTGCCTTCCCCCCTAAGGAAGGGGGCTTCTCCATGTGTCCTCTGCAGGGTACAGCAAGAAGCAGGGCCCCATCCTGCTCTCCCTCTGCCTTCCCCCTCCTGGCCCGTCTGCCATGCAAAGGAGGTTGTGACTGAAATCTTAATGCTACCGAGACACAGTAATTGGCACCAATTAAATTGCTACATTCATGTTTGAATTGCTTTAACTGGCGAGACACACTGTCTTATTTATACAAAAAAATATGTTTGCTTGTGGGTTTGTCTGAATCGGGGCCAGCAGAAAATAAACCATTTCAAGCTCTGCTCTCTGAAAGCGCATTCTCCACTTGCAAACTGAAAGTCACCTCCGTTTCAGGGTTTGCTGAGCAAATGGCTGCAGAACAGAACCCCACTCTGCTCAGGGCGCTCCTCGAGAGGGTCCTGTCCTCTCCTGCCAAGTTTCTCTCTCCAGTGTGGGAGTGGATGGGAAGAATATGGTCTGATTCAGGAAGGCAGACTCTGGCAGGCGTAGGACTCGGTGATTTTAAAGCTGGGTTTGGGGAGAGCAGGTGGTGGGTCTGTGGGTTTTGTGGGGTTTTGGAGGTGTTTGTAGAGCATCAGAGCAGAGAGAAGCTGGGGTTTTCTCTGTTGTTCTGTGAAGGTGGAGCCTGGCCCCAGCTTGCAGCACAGGGAGCTGGCAGCTTGTCCCTGCTTTGCAGCAAGGAGAAGGGATGTGGTATTGGGTATGAGGCGGGGGTGTCGTTCAGCCCCAGCAGCAGGGCACTGCATCAGGCCCCATCCCTCATGCGTGCTGCTGCCTTTGGCACACCAGGTCCTGCTCCTCATCCCCAACCATAGAGCTGTCGTGTGGCTAATCCCAGCCACGAGAGCCTAAAACCCCAGAACAAAACGATTAAGCTCAAGTCCCTTGCAGGCAGCTGAGAAGAGAAGTGCCGATGCAGCCATGGGAATTATTTCCTCCTCCCTGGCAGCACGGACAAATCTCATGGACATTTTCAGGCGAGGATCAGGTTGCTCTCCCTTCACAGGGATGTGGGGCTGGGGATGCACAGCACAGGGGGATGTCTCTATCTTCATTGCTCTCCCCTTGATCAGCGGTTAATTAGAGCCATCCAGGACCTTTGGCCCCAGCCCAGCACAGCAGGGGACTCAGAGCTTCAGGAGACAGTACCTTAGCAAAGCACTTAGCTTTCCTTGCTGAAGGAAGAGAGGGAGGAAAGCCCTGGGGTGCCCTTGTCCCTGCATCCATTCCTTATCCTCTAGCTACACAGCTAGAAAAACATCAGGCAAGCGGATGGGGACACCCTGAGGTGCCCCAGATGTTACAGCCTAAGGACAAAGGGAACAGATTGCTCTTGGAGCTGCCACTACCCGGCAGTCTCCATGTTTTGCTGCATGATTGGAGCCATCTTTTCCTGGGGATGGCAATGAAGTGATGCTAGGAGCTGTGTGGGTGCTGCCCTGTGGCTGGGGGCACTGCACCCACGCTCATTACTCACACTGCTCATGTTCTCATGGTGTTTGCTCCCTAAGATGTCTTTACTGTCTGAGATGATGGAGGAGTTGGAGGATGACCATGGGCAGATTTGGTGGAGAGGGGCACTGGGGAAGCGTGAAATGCTCCCGAGAGGCACATTTGTACCCCGGGGGGGAGGGGAGTCACTGCCTGCAGAGGGTGAGCTGTGGGGCTCAGCAGATCCTACTGCCCACACGAGCATCTCACGTTGTGTGCAATGCCACAGCTTGGTCCAGGTGACCAAGGGGCAAAGAGCAAGGCACCCCATCCCTTCTTCCTGACTACAAGAGAGCCCCTTGTTCCCCTCCCAGGGTTTTCCCACAGCCTGCGCCAGGTTTGTTGGCTCCAGGGAGCAGCCCTGTGCCCAGCCTGCTTTCCACGAGCGGAAGCGGGGGAGCATGCGCAACCCAAAGGGCCACGAATACCAACACTCAAGGCTGGGGGATTATTTATAATGCTGGCCCCGCTCCAAACAGATGTTTCATTTTATTTTGAACTTGTGCTAGATGGGTCACTCATTTCCTCTGTCTCCCATGGGCTTAAACCAGAGGGGGGATTAGGGCTGAGCATCGCTTGGTGTCACCAGCACAGGGGTAAAGCATCAGGACCATGTTTGCATCTGCATGTCGATGTGCAAAAGAAGGTTTATGCTCCAGGGTTAGCCTGTGGGACCCCAAGGACTTCCCAGTCCCTCCAGTTTCAGATTTCCAACCTCTGTGTTTTATCATCGGCTGTTTACAGGCTGGGGATGATGGGCTCCCCGTGTGCGCACTGCCTAATTCTAGCCATGTGCTGGGAAAAAAGAAAAAGGGCTCTGTGATGATAATCTGGCCTGTGAGTAAATGTGGTGTCATGGGAGCCGAGGGACCCCAGAGGAGAGATGTTGCAACTCCAGCCAGTTCCAGCCAAGGGAAAAAAAAAAAAAAAAAAAAAAAAAAGCTCAGTTTTATTTAGATTAAAGGGTGGGAAAGAAGCAGTCGCAGAGGCGGGGGGAGGGTGGCAGAGGGAAATGGGACAGAGCAAGGGGTTGGCAGACAAGCAAGGCTGGGGTCTCAGCAGCCTTTGCTTGGGGAGCAGTTCCCCTTCTAAATGGGGTGGGACATCTCCCCCCAGCCCAGGCCAGGAGGAGCCCCCACACCACGGCTGTGCCGGGCATCGATCCCGCGATCCATGCAGGGCTTTCTCATTGCGCGCGGGCACTCATGATCTCACTTAATGACTCAGATGAGTTTAGACAAAGAAAAAATAAAGTGTATTTTACTTCCCACTAATTCACACCAGATGTCCTTTGCCTGCTTGGCGGGACCGCGGGGCCAGCGAGTACAGCGGGAGCGCCGGGAATCGCAGCCCGGCTGGAAATGGAAAGGGCAGAGGAAAAGCGAGGGCAGCTGGCTGTGCTGAGGGGGGTTTTACACCCCGATTTCCAGCAAACAGCACGTCTTGCTAAAGGGCTGTGGGTCACAGGGAGTTTGGGCTCTGTTCAAGGAGTGGTGGGGCTGCAGGATGTGCAGATCCTACCCCTCCCTGTGTGCAGCTTGGCAGGCTGCTTCTCAGCTCCCACAGCGCTGGGGGTGCTTGTAGGACCCTCACTCTGTTTCTCTGCTTGGTTGTGTGTGAGAGGCAAGAAATGTGGTCAAGGTGTGCTTAGGCAGCGGGCAGCAAATGGCAAGGGTGTTGGTTGGTGCTGATGCCCATCTGTGTTGATTTCCCATGGTTTAAGGCTGTTGAAGGACTAGAAATGGACACAGCACAGAAACAAAAGGGCTCAGGGGTGGGCAGGGTGCGCTGAGCACTGTCGGACCACGTTTCTGCCTTCATCATAGAATCGTTTGTGTTGGAAGGGACTCTTAATGGTCATCTGGTCTGATTCATCCACAGTGAACAGAGATGCCTACATCAGTGGCTCAGAGCCTGGTGCTCGAGTGTCTGCAGGGTCAGGGAATCCACCACCTCTCTGGGTAACCTGTGCCAGTGCCTCACCACCCTTATTGCAAATAACTTTTTCCTTATGTCCAGTCTAAATCTCCCCTCTTTTAGTTTGAAACCATTCCCCTTTGTGCTATCAAATACCAAGAAGATTTCAAGACTGAGCCCACACAGTGTGCTTTGAGCATTCTCGTTCAAACAAGACACAGATCTGGAATGGAGCAACAGTAATAGATGAATGAGGTTTGGTGAAGTTTGAGGTCCCCAGTAAGGCACTGCTATGGGGAGGAGATGGTGAAGGAATGGCCTTCCTTATGGTGGGAAGGCATCATCCCCAGAAGAGATTGGATGTGGCCCTTCTCCACATCCAGCATCATTGAGGCTGCCATGAGGAGCTGTGGGCCACAATAAGGCCTCCCTTGTGCTCTGTGCTGAACAAACTGAGGGCTCTCAGCTGCCCCTCGCACCTCTTAGTGTATAAATGCAGCCTGCTGGCCGCCCTCTCCTTTCCCAGCCAAATTCTTCTCTTAGAATAATAAACAACACAGCTCAAGAGAAAACGGCTGGCTTGCCCTCGTGTCACAGCACCAGAGAGGGGCAGAAGGAGATTCTGTTCTAGCACTGAGGGACCGTAGTGGGGAGGAGGGGCTGTGGAGGATCTCAGCACAGCGACAGGAGCTGGGATGTCACCTCAGTGCCTGCCAGGCTGTGCTGAGGAGGTGGCATTGCTGCAGGGCAGGAACCTTGCCCATGGAACTCCCATAGTTAAGGTTGCTCAGCTGCTGGTCCTTGGGAAGGGCGTAAGAATCTGAGAGGTCTATGACCCCATTTTCACCTATAGAGCTGGAACGAGACAATCTGTGGCATCTGAGCACTGTGTAGATGACAATGTTTGGGTTCAAGGATGGGATTACATCTGTGTGCCAGATTCTGGACTGCTGGGTAGGGTCACCCTCACCTCAGGTTATTGCCTGGCACTCATAGGGTGCATATTGGTGCTCTTACTGAGAACAAAATCTGAGACTGAGGATTGGAACAAGTGTCCTCGAGGCTCAAAGTGTCCTCAAAGCAGAGATCTGGGTGCGTTTACACCCCTTGTGAAATGCCTCTTTGTGCACGTGTGCAAGCACACGTTGCTGTGACAAGGAGAGGAAGATCTGTCTGCTGGGCAGGCTCTGCAGAACAAGCAAAGCTTGGCATTTCCAAGCATGCCTCTCACCCCAGCCAGAGCAGACAAACAAGGGAGAGGTCACAGCTATTCGCAAGATGTTGCCACCCTCCCACTCTGCTCAGGAAGCATCTCCAAGAGAAAAGGCTTTCTGCAAAACCAGCGTTTTTATTAAAACCAGCCTTGAATGCTGGGGAGGCAGCCAGAGGCAGCAGGCGGAGGCTGCAGGGCTCTTGGTTCTCGCTGCAGCCTGAATCCAGCAGAGCACTGGTTTGCTTGGCAGGGATCCTGGAGAGACCAGGGCGCTGCTGGTGGCACCAGACCTCTCTGACAGGCAGCTTGTGTCCATTTACAGCCTGAATCTCCCCTCCATCCTTTCATTCCCTCCGCCCCCAGGTCTTTCCTTTAAGTGCTCTCTTCCTTTCCAGCAAATGCAGAAGAGAGGAGTCACCCAGGGGCTTTATGGAGGAGGAGAGGAAAACTGCTGAGTAAGCTGGAGGCCTGGAGAGTTTTGCTGGTAGATCAGACTTTTTTTCTTTTCTTTTCTTTTTTATTTTTATTTTTTTATTTTTGGAGCCAAAGCAAGAGAATAATAAAAACATCTGACAAGTGCACGTCATTTAAAAACCATTTCCTCCCAACATCCAGCAAAGAGAGACAGCACTTCAGGGCCAAGAGGCAGCAGACCCATTTGATAAGAGGCAGTGCCAGCAAGCTCAGATTGCCACCAGCCTCAGGTGGAGGGCTCCTGGGGGCTTCACCTCGGGGTCTGCCTTGGGAGCAGCTTCAAGATGGAGGTGTGAGAGCTCTGAACCTCAGCTTTGGCTCTGGGGTCCCCGAATCTCAGCCCCTTCTGTGCCTGTCATCCTGTTGTGTAGGGGATGGCTCCACTGCTGTCAGGGAGCTGTAGCCCCATCTCTTTTGAGCCGTCAGTTTGCTTCGGGGAGGGCTGGGTATGCTCTGTTAAAAGGACTTCTTGAGAAATGTTGATAAAAGGGATCCTAAAACAAAATTATTCCCTGAAGATGCATATTTTTGAAAGTGAAATACAAGAAATTCTCTGTTTTTTTGGAGGGAATGTTTTTGGACGCGTTTTCTTTTGTTGAAAGAAGCAGAAAATGTGGGAGGACTGTGGAGAGGGGGGGGTGTCTGTTTTTTAGCAAGTTTTATCTCATTGGGACTGAGGGAAGTGAAAACTAATAGGGAAAAAAGGCAGGGGAGGGAGAAAGGCAGTGCTTTGCTGTTGGGGAGAGGCATTTTGAGCTGTGATGAGCAAGAGCTGACACAGCTCCTGGAGCCTCCAGCCCAGTCCCTGTTTCCCAGCAGGAGATGCCTTAGATCTGCTCCTTCAGCAGATCCAGCACGAGGGAGAATGAGGTCAGCAGCAGAAGAGAGAGGCTGAAAACTGGAGAGAGGGGAAGTGGAGAGGGGACCCTCAGCCCAGCAGTGCTGCATTAATCCTGCTTTGTTCCTGACAGGATTGGGCCACTGGGTCGTGGAGCCCACCATGCTCTGTCCCTCTCTGAAGGCATCACTGCAGCTCCTCATCCTCACTGGTGAGTGGTGGCCCAGGGAGATGGGAGCAGGACTGGACCCCTCATAGAGAAGCTGTCTGGGGATGCTCCCATCACTGGGGTGATGAGGAGATGGGTAATGGGACAGGAAGGCACAGGGCTGCACTGCCTGCATCCATCTTTCCTGAATCTACTGGCTCTGCTGACCCAGTCCTAACTCTAACCCTTACTCTAAACCCTAACCCCACCCACAGGGACACCATGGGGGAGCACGTGCACTTCCCAGCCCCATTGGGACATCTGGGTGAAGCATTGAGGCCAGGAGACATGGAAGCTGTTCAGGAAGACCTTGCCTGCTCTATTGCTTCCATAGGATTTCCTGCAAGGCTTTGCTTTCATGCCTTTTTTACCTTCTTTTAAACTGACATTGTTTCAGCCCAGCCCGTGTCATGTTAGCACTGTCTCTGTGGAGAAACAGCCAGCAGAGCGGGCAATTAATTCCTTCATCTCCTCCTCTCCCCCTGCCCACCAAAGCATGGCCTTTCTGAGCTTTTGATGGTGCAGCTGAGACCTACCTCTGCTTTTTGAGACCAGCTCATTTTTAAGTCAGCAGTACTATATGCTGTCAGCTCCTTGGGCCCAGCGCATGGGATGCATACAAGCAAACATCTTGGAGATGTCTAGGTCACTCCTGCTTCCAGCTCTGTCCTCAGCAAGAATATCCTTTGCACTGGTGTTGCAGCATCACAGCAGCCCTGTTTGCACCCTCTGTTTCAGCGGGTGCCTGAATCCCTCCCAAACCAGCCTCCTACTCCTCGTCTCCTAAGGACACTGGACATTACTGGTCCTTGGATTTCAGAGATGTCCAATGTGGTCTCACCTCTCCTCTGTCCCAGGTCTGCTGGACGTAACATCTGGGGGCAGTGGGCTGCACATCGAACCTGAAGATGCTGAGCTCGTCCTGAGGCTCCACAGCACCTTCTCCCTCGTGTGCTATGGGGACAGCGCGCTAGTCTGGGAGCGGGATGGTCAGCCTCTCACTGCCTTGCTGGAGCACAGGGATGGGGTCTTTGTCAGCAACCTCACCCTCAAGAACGTAACAGGCCGTCACACAGGGGAGTATGCATGCTTCTACAGCTCCGACCAGGCTCCAGAGCGAGCAGAGAGGAAAGCCCTTTACATCTATGTTCCAGGTAAGGGACAGCACATCCCTACCTCTGCATGGAAACTCCCATGTGTGGCACGCTGGAGCAAGCAGTGGGGGAGATCATGGTGTAACCAGTGTGCCTCTCTCTCCTATAGATCCCTCCTTAGTTTTTCTCCCCGCCATCACTTCTGAAGAGTTCTTCATCTTCATCACGGGCTACACAGAGGCCATCATCCCATGCCGCGTGACCAACCCAGAGCTGCAGGTGACCCTCTATGAGAAGAAAGTGGAGAATCCCATTCCAGCTGCTTATGACCCACAACAGGGCTTCAAAGGTTTCTTTGAGGACAAGACCTACTACTGCCAGGCAATCGTGGATGACCAAGAGGTGGATTCAGACACCTTCTATGTCTACAGGATTCAGGGTGAGCTGCCCTCATCTTCGTGTATCTCTGTAGCTGTTGTGGCCATTCCTTCAAAACAACAGGGATGGGAGAGAAAATATTTCCCCCTCTCCTTAGTGATGTCCCTGATCAATTTAGGGGCTGGATTTAGCCCTGTCTCCATTAAAGAATAGGTTCTGCCAAAGTGTCAGATCTATACCTCGTAGAAGAGATTTCAAATGAATAAGTCCACCTAAGATAAATGGACTGGGTGTCCACTCATCTCTTCCTTAATTAATCATCCCTTCCTTTGACGCTTCCCACAGTCTCATCTGTGAACGTCTCCATCAGCGCGGTGCAGACCGTGGTGCGTCAGGGAGAAAATGTTACCCTGATGTGCACTGTCAGCGGCAATGAGCTGGTCAACTTCAACTGGGATTATCCACGCAAGCAGGTGAGTGCACCAACCCCAGCATTTGCAACGTGTCCCATGGCAATCACTCATCAGTATCATAGAAATGTTCAGGAAGCTTCATGCCACGGCAGAAGTAAAATGGGGAGATCCTTGGATGAAGGCTGTCTATCTCAGGGACTTTTGATGGTGCATGTTCTCTGTCCCCATTGTAGACTGACTAAGGTCTTCTGCCCATTTCTCCTCCCTCCCTGTGAGCCTGGCTCTGTAGCTCTGTTGGCATGAAATGTTCTTGACTTCACACACAGTATCTCTTGTCCCCATTGTGCAGGCTGGGAAGGCTGTGGAGCCAGTGACCGACTTCCTGCCTGGATCCACCCATGACATCCGTTCCATCCTCATCATCCAGAATGCAGAGCTAGAGGACAGTGGGACCTACGTCTGCAATGTCTCTGAGGGCTACCATGAGAAAACAGACCGGAAAGACATCACGGTCCAAGTGATCGGTGCGTCACTGTGCTGTCAGAGGCAGCAACAACCCACACGTATCGCTCCAGAATGGCAAACTCCTCTCTCTGCACAGCCTCCAGCTCCCTCCCCTTCTCACCCCTGCTCTCATCAACCATGGCAAAAAGTCAGCCCTCACCCCGTGGCATCCCTGCCCACTCCTTGGCTTCAACACATCCAAACTCCCCCACCATAACTTTTGGGAGTCCTTATTTGAGGGTTTGTGTGAGAGCTCTTTTTGCACTGTGCAGTGCCAATGTGTTCTTAGGTCAACCTTCCACCTACACCTGTACTCCCTTCATGTCATCTGAGGGAGGCTGCCCATCCCTGAAAATTGACAGCCCTTTCCTTGCATGTTACCTGGCCTGTGAGCTCACACCCATACTCTCCTTGGGCACAGACCTGAGACCTTGAGGGACGGATCTGGAGCTGCTCCATCACTTCAGGGTGTTTTATCCCAGATTCATGATAGCCCATAGAGGTGACCGGGTCTCTCCTTGAAGCCTGTATCCTTCTTGCCTTTTCTCAGAGCGTGGCTTTGTGCGCTTCCACACCCACCTGGCCAGCACAGTTTATGCTGAGGTCCACAAGAGCCACATCATCCAGGTGGATGTGGAGGCCTACCCACAGCCAAACATTGTGTGGCTAAAGAACAACAAGACATTGACCATGGAGAGCAGCAGCGAGTTCACCATCACCAACAGGAACCTGTCAGAAACCAGGTGAGGGCACATCACCCCTCACCAGGGGACAGGGAGGGGATAATTCACAACACAAACTGGTAGTGCATGGTATGGTGGTTGGGCACGGGATGGTGGCTGGATGCTGACCTTTCTGTGAGTGAATTTTGTGCATTCCTTAGTTGGGTGGGAGCCGATCCCTTCCAGCAGTGTCAGTGACCAGGTACCTTCCTACATGCACTCCATGGCTGTGTCTTCTCCAGGTACCAGACGTCTCTGGTCCTGGTGCGGGTGAAGCAGGAGGAAGGAGGATATTACACCATCCGAGCTTCCAATGAGGACGATGCACAAGAGCTGTCCTTCCATCTGCAAATAAATGGTGAGGATGTGCATGCAGACATGGGGCCAAGGCGTGTTGGGGCAGTCCCAGGGGATGGCTCCATCCTTTGCTCCAGGATTCTCAGCCTGAAGGCTTTACAGCTATGACTACAGATCCGGGGTGGTTTTGGTCAAAAGAAGAGCATTAGAGTGAGGAAAAAGATCACCTGAAATATTTCACACTTGGTCTTACAGCAAGAGGGACAAGGAGTCAGTGCAGACATCAGCAGCATGGCCTTTAATGTTGTCCCAAGGGTGCAGATGCAGATGCATCTACAGATGCAGAGGTGTCCTGTAGTTCCTCTGCTATACAAGCAGAATGGATAGGGGCAGGTTTCTTCTGTGACCACCTCAAACCTTTCTGGTTTTGCTTTTAGTTTCAACAATAAGGCGCAATTGCTCTAAGTCTTACCTCACTGTCACATCAACCCTGTGCCACAATGGGGATCCATTATTTCCCTTCCTCATCTGCATTCAACACCGAGAATTAATTCCCACCAGTGTCTCTTGGTTTCAGTGCCAGCCAAAGTGGTGGATCTCAAGGAAAACAGCAGTGCCAGCAGCGGGGAGCAGACTGTAACATGCTCTGCTGAAGGGATGCCCCAACCAGAGATCAGTTGGTCCACTTGCAGCAACATCAAATGGTAAGCAGAGAGATGAACCCCATGGGAATGACAGGGCTCATGCATTTTTAGAAACAATAGACTCTATTTCACTGTGTTCTGCTGGCCCACGCAACTGCACATCCCATGGTGTTGCATGGGTCTGGCTGCCTCTTAGGTGCCTTTATCCTCCTCCGGTCCAGGTGTGGCAACCAGGGGCAGCCCACCCAGCTGCTGGGGAACAACTCTGCAGAGATTGGCCTGCACACCAACGCCACGTACCATGCAGAGCTGCAGGTGTTCCGCGTGAACAGCACCCTGCAGCTGCACAGGGTGGATGAACCCCTGCTCCTGAGATGCACTGTGCAAAACTTCCTGGGCTCCAACTCCCAAGACATCACTCTGGTCCCAAATAGTGAGTGCTGTGGGAGGTGTTCACATTGGAGGTGGGGAGATGGACTTTCCTCTCTATGCCCCCAGCCTGGAGGTGCTGGGAGCCAGCAGCATCCTCTAATAGCTTCAGTCCTCGGGCGGAAAGCCTGGATATTTCTGCCCAAAATGAAGCATCCTTTGTGTTGAGTAGGAAAGGCTGCTCTGAGAGCAATCTGTAGCCTTCATGCCCACTGGCCATGACCTTTCTCCTCCCACCCCTAAACAGGGTTATCCCTCCAGGGACAAGAACTGATCAGGTCCCTAGTGTCTTGTTATTAGCCCAAGGGTCACTAGATGGTGCCACAGACCCAAACAACCACATGCTTTCCCAAATAGCAGAAAGGACGGTCTCAGCTGGGAAGGTCTAACCAGGAGGAGAGAACAGGACTGTCCCCAGTCAGACTCCAGTCCACAGGACAGCCTGGGATGGATGTGTGGATCTGATTTAAGGTCCCCAATGGATCATCAGTCCATCATCAACCCCTGGGGTTGATGCCCGTTGGGGAGGCATGTAGCAGGAAGGGGACAGTGACTAGAAGAGAGAGGGAGCCCTCTGTGCTGATAACCCCTCTCCCTGGGTCACCCCGACTTTGCAGGGGTGGGAGTCTGACTGCTGACCCTGTGCTTATTGTTGTAGCCTTGCCGTTCAAAGTGGTCATCATCTCCGTCATCCTGGCTCTGCTGGTCCTCACTGTCATCTCCCTGATCATCCTGATCGTCCTGTGGCAGAAGGTAAAAAAGGACAGCATTTGCAGGTTGTTGCACATGTCAGGGTGGATGGGGAGAGCAAAGCTGTGAGCTTCTGCCTGATGATGTTCTATCCATGTCAGAGATCATTGGCTTCTGTTGGCCTCCTGCCATCTGTAGACTAGACATGGAAGGTGGCAATGACTGCAGAGGCCAAAGACTCCCTAACAAAATCCATCCACAGTCCCCCTGCCCTCCCTGTCCCTCAGCTTCTCTGATCTCCCTTGTCTCTTTGCTCCCCTCTCCAGAAACCTCGCTATGAAATCCGCTGGAAGGTGATCGAGTCAGTGAGCTCTGATGGGCACGAGTACATCTATGTGGATCCCATGCAGCTCCCTTATGACTCCAGCTGGGAGGTGCCCAGGGACAAGCTGGTATTAGGTAAAGGCTCTGCAGGTCCCTCTGATGAACCCTGTCTGTCTGGGGGTGATGGTTTTCAGTTTGGGATCTCAAGAAGAGAGCAACCCGGGCAGAGCACAGAGATTCCCTGGGATATGATGTGATCCTGCAGCATCTGGGGCCACTGTGGGAAGCTAGCTGCTCCCTGTGGCATGAGGCACATGGTTATTTCTGACTCTCCTTCCCTGTGGCTGGCAGCTCCTTCCCTTCTCAACTAGCCACAAACCAGTTTCAGTGCCAAACACCTTCACTCTCCACCACTGCCATTCCCATCAGGATGGCTGGTGCCATTTCAGACAAGAGACATGCCTTTTCCGAGGTCCTCTCCTGTTCTTTCCTATCCTTAGTGATCATACCAACCTCACCTTTCTCTGCAGGACGCACTCTTGGCTCCGGTGCCTTTGGACGCGTGGTGGAGGCAACAGCGCATGGCCTGAGCCATTCACAGTCCACCATGAAAGTTGCAGTCAAGATGCTCAAGTGTAAGTTCCTCACGCTGTCCATTTCTCCCACCCCAACATCACAAGGCTGGATGATGCCCAGGTGCTCACTCCTCACCTTGCTGCTCATATCAACTGTCCCCAACAGCCACTGCCCGGAGCAGTGAGAAGCAAGCCCTCATGTCTGAGCTGAAGATCATGAGCCACCTGGGACCTCACCTCAACATCGTCAACTTGCTGGGGGCCTGCACCAAAGGAGGTAACTGAATGCCAGGTGCCCTGTCTTCTCCCTGCTACCTTGCATTGTGCTGCAGAGTGAGAATTATCCTCAGAGAGAATAATTGCTGATTTCTAGTTCAGAACAACTCACCCTTCCCCTGGGAAAGCCTCAGGAGGCTCTGAAAGCCTCTCTTTCCAACCCACGTGAAACTGAGAAGGCATGTTTCTGATAAGCCCCACCTGCCTTCCCAAACATAAATTTCAAATTCCGAAAATGCTCAGTCCCAGAAAGACAGCTTTTCCCCACGGTCCTGCAATCCGGTAATGTCCCCAAGGGACAAAAATCACTGCCCTGGGCAGCAGACAGGGGCAAGTAAAGATGACACGAGTGCTCTTTTCCCCCAGGGCCCATCTATATCATCACCGAGTACTGCCGTTATGGGGACCTGGTGGACTACCTGCACCGCAACAAGCACACCTTCCTGCAGTCCTATGGCGAGAAGGCCCGCCGGGAGGCAGAGCTGTATGGGAACACCATCAAGGAGGACCATGTGCAGAGGTGCCTGGAAAGCAGCCTTCTCCTCCTCCCTGCTGCCTGCACCATCTTAGCCCACACCACTGAGGGAAGCTGGTAGTGCCAGGAAGGATACTTTCATTTCCTCCAGGCCAGTAAAATAAATGCTGGCCTAGCAAAGGAGCATGGTTGCACAGTGTTACCTGTAGCTCCTGGCAGGCAGGGATTTAGCAAAGGCAATTTGTGTGTCCTGGAGGCTGATGCTAACACATACCCTGGCTGCTCCATGCCAATTGGGAATATTCCCTGGCAGCATTAACTTTGCTAGCATAACAGTTGACACTCACTGAGTACAGAGAGGAGTTTCTCAGCACATCTTAGCCTTTGGGGACCTCAGCTGTGCATTTTCAGTGCAGTCTGTGTTGCTACTGTGCCTAAGGGAGAAGTGCTAGAAGGAGTGCAGTTGCACAAGAGGTGCTAAGAGGAAAGGGAAACAGTCCTTCATCCAGCTGCCAGCTGTAAGAGGTGCAGACACATCAGTGCAGAGAAACACTCCCATGGGAAACTAGAAAGCAGCACTTCCTTCCAGCACACAAAAGCAACAGTAAAATAGAGCAGCATTAGGGCATTTTCACAGCTGCCCCCTGTGCTTGAAGGCAGCTGAGATCCTCCTAAGCACAAAGCACACCCTCACAAGCCCCGGAGGATTCTTTCTGGAAGGAGATACCTGTGCCATTTGTATGCCACAGAGCTGCTTTCCCTGCCAAGAGACATTTCAATGCTGCGGCTGAGGGTTCGGGAGCTGCAGATCATTTCCTCCATTCCCTGCGTCTCCTTCACTCCACTGTGTCTGAATAGTCTCTTTTTCCCCCTCCAGTCACCTCTCCTTGTCTGTCGAGAGCGATGGGGGCTACATGGACATGAGCAAGGATGAGTCTCTGGATTATGTGCCCATGTCTGACATGAAGGGTGAAGTCAAGTACGCTGACATTGAGTCCTCTAACTATGGCACCCCATACGAGCTGGACAGCTATTCCCCATCAGGTAACAGCTCAGCTGTAGTGGAAGGGAAAGGAAATTGCATTTGGGTTGCAGGATGCCTTTGCTTGCAGAGCTGGATGGGTCATATTGCAGAGGTCACCTTTGAGACTAATACAGCTTCATGCTGGGAGCCTCAGACTCTGTCCTGGTGTTGATAGGGCCAGAACTGTCCCCATTGAGCTGGTTCCTTCTGCCAGCTGCAGTCTGTGTTTGTGCCATGTCACACCAACCTCTGTGTTTGCCTGTCTTCCAGCTCCTGAAAGAACAGACCGGGTGACACTGATAAATGAATCTCCACTCCTCAGCTACATGGACTTGGTGGGCTTCAGCTTCCAAGTGGCCAATGGGATGGAGTTCCTGGCTTCCAAAAATGTATGTATGCAGGCTGGCCTATGGAGGCAAAGAATGCTGTGCTGTGCCTGTGGTCACGTTCATCTCACTGTCCCTCTGTCCATGCTGACCTCCTTGAGAAACAAGTGGCCGTGCAATGGAAGGGCTGCCAACCACTTTCCTTTGGAAATATATCCCCGAGGATCAGTGTGATTGCGCTTGCACGCCAGCTACTCTGATGCAGACCAAGTTTCACACCTCAAATTCCATGACTCTGAGCTCCTTCCAAGCCCTGTGCAGCACAGCTGTGATGTTACATAATCCTTTACTGGGATGACCAGCTGCAAACAGATAGCCTTGCTGTGTTAAACACAGGGCATTCCAGAGCAAAGCTGCAACTGTCCATGGACATTCACATTGCCCCACATGCTCTAAGCTTCCCAAGCCTCTTAAGAAATGCTTGTTCAATGGTAATTAAGCCAATGGAGTGGACCAGGCTATGGAGGCTTCCTAAGGTCTGGCTTTGGCCTAGGACAGGCAGTAACATACTCTCTGTGAAACATCATGCAGGGCAAGGGTAAGAGACAGGGTGGGGTGGTATGAATGACATGCAGAAAGAAATTTCTGGCTCTTTGCCTCCAGCCAGACAGTGTGATCTCCACAAGTGTAGAGTCAGTGCTATCCCATGGAGCACAGAAGAGGAGCTCCAAATTCCCACAGTCTTACTTTGCAGTGATGTAACATCACTGTTCTAACTGGTAGGGTCTGGCAAACATAGGGCCCTTGCCAGCGTGTCTGTTCCAGTAAGCAGCAAAAATAAAGTAGTCCTTTAGTGGCTTTGAGCTATATAGGTCCATAAAGGTGAAGGAGATGACTCCTGTCCCTGCAGCAAAAGAATGGGCTAGTGCTGGAGCTGGGCTTCTCTGTGCCATTTGGGGCTGCTCCCAGTGACAGTGCCCTGCCTCCCTGCAGTGTGTGCATCGTGACCTGGCTGCCAGGAACGTCCTCATCTGCGAGGGAAAGCTGGTGAAGATCTGTGACTTTGGTTTGGCAAGAGACATCATGAGGGATTCCAACTACATCTCCAAAGGAAGTGTGAGTACCAGGAGCCATGCCATCCCCTTCTTTGTAGGGCTCTGGGGCTGGCGCCAGCAAACCCCCTGTCTGTTACTGTGCCCAGGGGTGGTGACGTGGCCATCCCAATTGATGGTGTTAACCATCACCAGCCAACCATCGTGCACCTGATGTGCTCTGCACACTGGAATAGCAGAATTGTATGGTTGTATCTCCAAGCTCCTAGAGAAGAATCTGGGCTGCAACAGCAAAACTATTGGACTGTGCCCTGCACAGCCCTTCAGTGGCAGCAGAGCTGTGTCCATCCTCTGCGTGGTGCTGAGCATGGTTCTCAGCTGCAAGCAGGAGCAGTGCAAAGTTAGGGAGCTTGACAGTGGTGCAGTGAGTCACTGGCCACTCTGGGAAGAGGTCCACAGTCTTCTGCTCTAACCACCAGACCACAGGGTAAGAGGAAGTGCTTTCCTGCAAGCAGCTACTTTCCAGAAAGACATCTCCAGTCTTTCGAGGCAAGAGAGGATGGAGCTGTTATTGAGCTTCCCTGAAACCTTCCCTGTGCTTTCAACAATAGTGTGTTTGCTCCAGCACTGAGCATCTGGGAATGTGAAACCCTAAGCAAAGCAGGACACGTAACTGGCTCCATTTGGCGGACAGGGAAACTGAGTCTGAGGGAGCTAAGAGTGGTGCCAGGCCCCTCAAACTCCAATCTTTATTTACGCAATGAACTACTCAGCTTCCCTCCTGATTTGTCCCATTTGCATGGCGCGGCAGCCAAGTGTTCAGCATATTGGCAGGGGACCCCTCTGCAGAGAGATTGTGATTTTCCTGTCCAGCCTTGATATAGCTGCTTTTCCTTATGAAACAAGAAATGAAACTGGGCCTCTTTGCAGTTCTTCCTGGAGATTATTTTGGTATTTGTTGTGCAAGTGAATCTCCAGAACAGCACAGCCAGTGCTGCACACACTGATTGAGTGAGGCTCCTTTTATTGTGTCACCACGTGTGTAGGAACAGGAAAAGCAGGAGCTTCAGCTCTTTTCTGGTCATCCTATAGCCCTCTCCTGCTTAGCCTTAGGTTTCCAAAGCTTCTGGTTTCCTTTCCCTCTGGGAGTTCTGTGGTCACACTGTGCAATCAGTGCAATCATCCCAAGGCGCAGAGATGCACACTGTGACAGCTCATTATGGCAGACAGGCTGTTGTCCATGATGGAAGTGGATGTAGCACACCTGTTCTTCTCTCCTGATTGCTGAGTTCATCCTGCACTACAAAAGAGAAAACTGATCCCTCCAAGAAATGCTGATCACCAGATATGTTGGGCTGTCAGGGGTTTTTCTCTGCTTGTAAACTGTGTCAGACTCTTTCTTGTTGAAACAAATGCTGTAGATGCATCTGACTCTCTTCTTATTCCAATTTTTTCTCATAGACTTTCTTGCCCCTTAAGTGGATGGCTCCTGAGAGCATCTTCAACAACCTCTACACCACCCTAAGTGATGTGTGGTCCTTTGGGATTCTTCTCTGGGAGATATTCACTCTAGGTAAGTGTCGTGGAGATCACGGTTGTGTCCACAGAAATGGTAGCACTTTAGCAAGATCCTTTCCCAAACCCAGAAGGTAGGTCCATCTTAATCCCCAAGTCCCAACTCTACCAGCATCAGAGTAGCACTTCACTCAGTGTCTCCTTCTTTCCCATGCTGGCGTGGGCATTTGGAAGCAAAATGAAACAGAAAAGGTAAATTAGAAAACATAAAGCAAACAGGAAAGCTTGGTGTGAAAAGCATGATGGGATGGAGATGGCAGGCTCTGCACTAGCCTGATTCCCTGCTCTGCCTTTTTACCAGGAGGGACTCCCTACCCTGAACTGCCTATGAATGAACAGTTCTACAATGCCATAAAACGTGGCTATCGGATGTCCAAACCTACCCATGCTTCTGATGAAATGTAAGTGCTGCCTTCACATGTTAATCCTGGGCCTCCACATGTTGTTATAACCCTGCACATGTTAACTCCTGCAGAAATGACAGGAGCAGTTCTTCTTCTGTTTTCCTGCTAAGTCCCAACGTGCCCTTTCTTCCATTTTGTTAGCTATGATATTATGCAAAAGTGCTGGGAGGAGAAGTTTGAGATCAGACCGTCCTTCTCACAGCTGGTGGTGCTTATGGGAAACCTCCTGGTGGATTGCTACAGAAAGGTATGTGCAAGGACTGTGTGGTGAGGGCTACAGAAGTGTCAGTGCTCTTTGAAGGGATGCCACCTTGGTTTTATGGCATTTGATGAAGGTTTGGAGACCCTAATTAATAATTATTAGCTGCTGTGCTGGAGGATTTTGCAGTGATTTGGGCTGCAATAATTTGAACAGCCAGCGGAGGTGATTTAGGAATCCTGGGGACGTTGCAAGACAGCTGTCATCACCAGGCAGCTGGTTTCTCAGCAATCAGAAAGAAATCTGAACTGGCTGAAGATCAGAGGCCTGCTGCTGACTGATATTTTGGAGCCATGGAATTGTGCTGCTGATCTCTCATATAGGAAACATTCATGATGTGTCTGTGGTGGAGTCAGGGTAGCTGAATGTAGCTAGATGTCAGCCCCTGGGGAAAGAAGCTGGCAGACAGGGAAAGCAAACACATCTCTGTGTTTTCTCTGCTCACAAGACCTTTCTGTTTCTCTGGTATCCTGTGAGAGCAGAGGTACCAGCAGGTGGATGAAGAGTTCATGAAGAGCGACCACCCCGCTGTTGTTCGCACAAGACCCACCATCCCTGGGCTGAACAACGCCAGGCTCCCTCCCAGCTCCCCAACCCTCTACACAGCTGTGCACCAGAACGGGGGAGAGAACGACTACATCATCCCTCTTCCTGACCCCAAGCCTGAGGCAATCTGTGACCTCCCTCAGGAGGCCTCCATCAGCCGTGCCAGGTAGAAAAGTCTTTTCTAAATGCGTCTCTTCCCAGGATTGCCCAAAACTGAAGAAGGGGGGCTTCAACTGCAAATAGGGATGCTCTGCTCAGGGATGGGTTTACTAGGAGAGAAGGAGGGTAGTGTTACCCCCATGAGCACCCAGGGATGGAGGTGAACCAGAGGGCTCTGAGCTAAATGGTGTCTTGTCTCATCCCCATGTGTCAGCCAGCACAGCTGGGGATAAGAGACGACACAACCCAGGGTACAGAGCTCCTGAAAGATGCTAAGATTGACAAGGAGCTCAAGATGCTTCTCATTCATTGGGAACCCTGTCTCATCAGGAAACTCAGGATAGGCACTCATATCTTTTCCCTTTGTCTCCCTTCAGCTCTATTCTGAATGAAGCCAATACATCATCTACAATATCCTGTGACAGCCCCCTGGGCCCCCAGCAGGACGAGGAGCCGGAATGTGACCTGCAGCTGGGCTGCCAGGAGCTTGCCCTGGGGCACCACGAGGTGGAGGAGAGCTTTCTGTAGGCAGAGCTGGACTGATGGCATCTCCCCACGGCAAGGCCAGGTGTGGGGCTGCGCCAGGCATTGCAGAGAACCACGCTTTATGCTTGTTCATTGGGACATCCCTGCTTGTCCTGGTATTCCTCCCTCTCTTCCATCTGCCAGAGTCAGGTGGGGAATCAGAGACATTTCCCCCATTGCCATCCCCTTCCCTCCTCACAAAGAGGTGGCTCAGTGCCCAGCATCTTCCAGATCACTGCCACATCCTCCTCAGCGATCAAACCGCTGTGGGAAGGAGACATCTCACAGACCAACATCTTCTTCTGAAGTGGAAGATGTGGGTTAGATCTCCACAAGAGACACCACTTTCCACGTTGCTAAGATGCTCCAGCCTCTTCCCCTTCCACACTCTTTCGATGGCAATGAGTTCCAGCTCCTCCGCACCAGCACTTCCCTGATGGTCTCAGCACCAACCACACCGTGGTTCTGCGAAATGCCACCAGGACAGACAGTTTCCTTGGAATTTGTTGCTGGGGGTTAGAGAAGCTGCAATACCCAACTCCAGCTGTTGGGTGGATTTTTCTCCAAGCACAGCCAAGGCCTGGAAAGACCAGCCAGTGTCTCACAGATACTGAATCACCATTTTCCTATCCTGACTCTCCAGAGGACAGAGCATCACAAGCTCAACAGGTACCTGTGGCTCTGGGGCACAGCTCTGCCCTCCCACCCAGAGCCATCCTGTGCCCAGCCAGGAGTCCCAAGGGCCAGGAACACAAAATGCTCTCACAGTAACTCTGCTGTTGTAGCAAAGAGGGCAGTCCAGTGTTGTTGTCTGCGTGGGCACTAAGCTAATTATTCTCCAGTGATGATTTAAAGGGAACAAATATATTAATCCACTAGCCAGGGCCAGTATAAGGAAGCAATATAGCTACTCATTAATCTTCTACTGCCACTAAGCCCAGATCATTTGCTGGGAAATCGGATAACTCCTATGGCTGCAAAACTTTTATGTCTTGTCTTTGGAAAACAAGGGCTCCCTTGTGAAAGACTGTTCACCCAAACACCATCTTTCTTAGGATGGTGGGTCCTTCCTGAGCCCTAGCAAGACTAGGGGGAGCAATAAGGATGCCAGAACACCAGCCCAGGGACATCTCAAAAGACAGAAAGGGAGAGAGGTTGGGAAGCTGTTTGCCACAACACCTCGCAACCTTCTGGGGATTGGGCATAGCTGCTCAGCCTTGCAGGGCTAGAAAAGCTAGACCCCAAAACTACAGCTCTGACAGCACAGAAATTGGCAGGGTTTTTTTTCCAAAAGGAGAAGTTTCACCTTGCAGAGCTCTGCAGCATGACCCCCACTCCCATTAACCCTTGTGCTGCCTACTCATGCACATTTCTCTGTGCACCCCACAAATCCTGCACAGGCAAATTTGAAAATTCAGTCCGCATCTTTTGGGTTTCAGCCACCTGAAAGCCACTGATCTAATCTGATCTAATCTGATATTTCTGCCAAAAAAAAAAAAAATCAGCAAAATAGCTTCTGTCTTACGTCGTCTTATCATTGAAATGCTGCCATTTGAGCAATTAAAAGAGGAGTAGATATTTTGTAGGTTGATGCACTTGGTAAAATGTGAAGCTAGGAAAAGCATTTTTATTGGCAGCTGGTGGAGTATTTCAGTCCTTGTGGTCAGATTCCCCATCCCCTGTGGGAAACACACTGTGAATGACAACTGTTTTTCCATACTAGATTCTCCTGATTGTAATGAAGGAGCCATCTTCTGTGGTTCCAGAAATGATCCTAACTGTGGAGAAGTGATGATTTCTGAGATCCTTGGGGTCAGACCACTGTATTTTTCTAACATGCAAGGTGCTTGGTAGGATGCATGTCACTGCAACTTGAGCCCGTAGGATGGCACATCTGATCACTGCTGTCCGCACCAGCTCCCTTTTTAGTTTGCTTTTCTCTACCAAGTGTGATCAGAAGTATCCAGTACTCCAGTTTGGGTCAAGTCTAGACCTCACACAGGGCATTAATACCTTCTGGTCTGTCCTGGATTTGTCTTGCCTTGTGTAGCTTTGGATAATGCTGCCCTTTTCCAAGCCACAGCATAGCGGTAGTTTGGAGTCATCCCCTAACCAACCTTAACACCTACATCTTTCTACTCTTCCAGCATTTCTAACCAAAATACTCCCTGCTGTTCCAGACGTTGGGTCATCAGCACATTTCATTAACAAACTGTTATTTTTGGGCTGGATTAACTAATAAAAATATTAAATACTTCAGGCATCAAGAGCAAGCCCTAGAGAGCTACTTTTACTACCTCCATCCAGCCCAAAGATTTGCCTGTCAATAAAACCCTTCTCACCTTTGGCCATTTGCTTTATTTCACAAAACCTGTGCTAAGCTCCATCTTGTACAGTTGAATTACTAATTTCCCACTATTAAACACCATTCCACAGTCCTGAAAGCGAACGTCTAATTCTTGTCCCTGATGGGGAATCTCAGGTACCCTGTCCTATTAGCCGGGCATTAGCTACACTTGGATGCCTATTGCATTTTATCCCATGTACATTCATTTTAATTATTCTTAACATCAAAACCTGTTCTGGCTGTATAAGGGATTAGATTTGTCAGCAAAACCCATCTCCCTCTTCTTTCTTAAATCAGGTACGCCACAATGGTACCATTCCCCTCTCTAGAGAAGTATGACCAAATAGTTGCCATTGGCCCTGTGATGCTGAGGGCCAGCTCTTGCACTTTGTGGTACTTTCCTATCCTTACTCCACTATTCCCACCACCCTACCAGTGTAGTTCGCAAAGCAAGCCTCCAGCTTGAGCTGGGAAATCTCTCCTCAAAATGGCTTAGGAAGGGTGAGCTCACCCCAAGTGGGGACCTGCCTCCAGCCCCCGTTCCCTCTCTCTGCTGTCAACACTCCAGTCCTGGCGTGACCCAGGGGAACAGGGCCAGCAGAAATGTTGGCTGTTCTGAGCCCAGCTGTTTTGCAGCCATGATTTCTCCGGTGAGATTCTGAAGGGAACCAGTCCCTCCAGGTTTTTACTTTTGACCATCAGTAATTTTGTTTGGATGTGTTTTCATGTTTAGAGGTGGACCCAAACTTGGGTGCCCTCCCAGAGGGAGACATGCCACAGCTTGGGCCCATCTCTAGTGCAATATCTTTTATTTGTAGATTATATTTTACTCTGCAGCTGTCAATTGTTATCAGCACCAGTATACGCATAATCCTACTGCCAGTCACTATTTCATACATACCTAAGTGTATCCCAGAAACTAATGCAACACTCCGGAGTCTCTTTTTGTGTTTAAGATGCTTCTCAGACTGACGTGTGCACAGGTTCTAAGTCTTTTGTCCTTCTCAGTTTGAGCGTGTTACTATTTTTTTTTTTTTTAAGTGAGAGTGTCACGTTTAGTGTTTGTTTGTGTTGTGTTAAGAATCCTAGAGCACAGCGGACTTTAATGGAACTCAGTTGTCTCTGTTCACCTGTCAATGGGACTGTGGTGGAGCCCCACAGCGTGGGAGGCAGAAGTGCAGTGCAGACGTGCAGCCAGGGGAAGTGGGCCAGAAGGGAGAAATGGCTCTTCCCCTTCTTCCCAGCCAGGGCTTGGGGCTGGGGTGGGCAGCACCACAGGCACGGGGCTCTGGGTTTGGGCTGTAGGAAAGCTTGAGATCTGTCTGTGTAAAGCTGGGCAGATCTGAAGAAGGGGATTCACGCTGTCACTCTGCAGCATCTCTGAACTGCACAGCACCTGCCTCCACGCCGTCTGCCAGAAACCACCCTGAGGGCAAGGGAAAAAAACAGAGTTCAGACTAAGGTACCAAAGAGTTAACATTTTCTTAGGTTTACAGGACTTGTAGGACTTGTACTATGTCACATCTATAGCCATGAGATATTATTTTTATGCTGTAAACTTTTACAAATACATTTTTAAAGAAAGAGTTTAAAAATAAAAGTGTTTTTCTTTTTGCAGAGTGCCATCTTTTTTTTTTTTCTCCCCCAGTTTTGGTCACTGCCCCTTGCTCCCACTAAGGTAGGGTTGGAAATACAGCTTAAGCATGTTGTGGGTGAAGGCTAAGCACGTTAATACGTTGTGCATGACCCTAGTGCTTAGCAAAAGCCAAGCTGGAAGCCAGGCAGAGAGAAGCAAGGCAACAGCCGAGCACAAAGACGTGGTAAGGAAAAGGGGCTGCAAACAGGGCAGGAGCTACCAGTATTCCAGCCAGTGGGTTGTGTCGTAATGGTGGGAGGCAAGCAGAGGGAAGACCACCAGGAGCAGTTCCCACATGCATTCCCTGAGGTTCACACAGCAGCCCCCAGCACCGGCTCACCATTTTCCATTTCTGGCACTGTGCTCAGATCAGAGAGGGATGCAGGAGGTGCCAGACTGAACAGTGCTCAGTGGGGGACACCGTGGTGCAGGTGATTTTTGCACGTACTTTAATAGACCAAGTCCCAGCAAAGTTCCCCTTTCCAGCACAGCTTGTCCCAAGCTCCCAACCCTGCTCAGTTTGCCAGAGAGGAGGACTGCAGACTCCTGACCAGCTCAGGTCAATGATCTCCAGATTTGATCTGAGTCACCTAGCACAGCTCAACCCTGACGCTCAGACTGGGCATTTTCCTCCAGAGGCTGAATCAGCAGGGGAAAAAAATCACCTTGTCTGCAGAGAGGCTGCAGCACAGGTTTGCGGGGGAGCGGGGAGGGGGCAAACCCCAGCCAGCTCCCACTGCCCAGTCTCTGCCTGGCTGGGCTCCTCAAGAAGCCTCCTCAAAGAAAAGAAGGGAGGATAAGATGTTGTTTCCCTTCTCTATATTAAACCTGTCTGGTTTACTACTTATTCACACTGGTGAGTCAGTTCTCTATGAGCTGGCATTTGTTCCTGGAAAAAAAAAAAAAAAAGAAGAAGAAGAAGAAGGAGGGAAACAAACATCCTTTTAAAAGCCCCTTTGGCTCAAAAGGAGGAAAGAATAATCAGGCAGATGTCTCCTGCAGCTCAACAGGCTCTCAGGTCTGGGCAGGAGCCCCCCAGCACAGCACAGTGCTCTTTCTGAACACTTCACATTCTCTTTCTCCACGGCCTGCCAGGAAAAACCGCTGAGAGGAAACCTTCCCTGGCCAAGCACTGCTGTTTCTTCTCTCCGGGCTCCCTCGTGCTCTCCATCCATCTCTGTAGCCAAAACCCAAAGCTTTCTCCATGCTCCCATGACTCTTAGTCACTTTCAGCACAGCCATGCTCTCATCTCTTGGCCCCAGCACTTTGTCCTCCTGGCACCTCTCTGACCGCAGAGACCCCTGAGCCTGTTCCCTGATTTTGGAGACAGGAGGACCTTCCTGTGCTGTGCTACCTTATGCTGTCAGGTGGTGGCCATCACTTCCCAGCCCAACGCTGCCACAAACAGCTGCAAACTTGCAGTGCAGCAAGATTATTCAGCACTAGAACACAGCAAGGAGCACCGCAGGCCATTTCCCTTGGCCTGCAAATGTTCTGCTTCCCTAACTGCCCCTAGAAGAGTTATTTTCTTTCAATCCTACCCTCACTTGTTATTTGTGTGGGCAGCCCAGGAAAGGGTTAACAAAGTGCCTAATTACTGGACCCAGCTGTCTTCCAGACCGGTTAATTAGACAACAACTTCAAAAAGCCTCCCCAGGAGCAATTACAGAAGGTTCTAGGTGAGGAATGATCCCTGTTTGCCTTTTGGTGATAGAAGAGCTTCATCCCTGATTTGGGGCTGGGTGTGGAGGTACCAGGAGAGGGGTAAGCAGGGGCTGGCCAACCTGAAGTGAGGGGAAGGGGCTACAGGGTGGGACATCAATGCTTCTCCCTGCTGGGGAGAGCAGTGCATGTGCCCCTGCCCCAGCACAGCCCTGCTGTAGGGCTTGGGGAGAGCTCACGTGGCTACAGGAATCTGTGCAATCAGAGTTGCAATTTTCCTCGAAACAAATTAATTTGTCATCTTCGCAGGCCTTTACCCACCTGAGAGCTGCCCCCCACCCTAAATCCTCTCTGTGGGGTGTCTGCCATTTTCCTGAATGGGCACAAAGCTGCGAAGAGCTGCCAGGCCTGAGGTAGCGCTTGTCCTGCTGAGGTAAAGTGGAGCCTTCTGCATGTTGGGCAGGAGGTCAAACTGCGACAGTCCCTGGGGGTCTGGATGGCCATGGCAAGGGTTGTCCCTAACTCCTGTGCCCCGAGGACTGGTTTGGGGCGAGGTTTCCTCCCCAAGGTAGGGCCTGGAGCAGGCGATGGCCCCATGGTGGTGGGCATGGGGTATGCGGTGCCCAGCCCCGCTTCGGCCGAGCAGGTTCGTCACTGGTGATGTTGCAAATCATTTTCTTTTTTTTTTTTTTTCTTCCCCTCCCATTTCAAAAACAAACACACAGACGCACACAAAAAAAAGGAATTTCTTCACTTGTGGTCAACTCAGAAAGGAGAAGCTCCTGCTGAGGGAGTGCTGGGGATGGTGCTGTGAGGAGGGGCACCGCTGCTCACACGGATCCCTCAGACACATCCTTGCCCTGCGTGGGGACACCATGGGTCCTGGCTGCCTCCTCCTCCTCCTGCTGCTGACCGCACCTGCTGTCCGCCATGGTAGGTTCAACAGCATCCCATAGCCCTTTGGGGCCACCATGTCTCTCTGGGGCAGCTTTGGGATGCGGTGAGGGCTTCTTGTGAGTGCTCCGTGGTTGAGGTGGGATGATGGCTGCAGCTGAGCTGGGGAGAGGGTTTGGGCTAATGGCTGCTTGGCTCCTGGTTGCAGAGGGAAAAGCCAGACTCCTGATTGCTTCTACCAAAAGCCTGTGTTAAGGTAGGAAGGTCCCAACCTCTGGAAGCTGTGTGCAGGCTCAAGGAGCATCAGTGTGGCAGAGAGCAGGCAAGGAAATGCATCTGCTTCACAGCAAGGCCTTTTAAAGCCGGCTGCTGTGCCAGGAAGAAGACAGTGAGAGAGAAAGAGTGTGCTGATAGTCTGTGACTCTGGAGTCCAGCAGTGTTGACAGCTTACTCTTGGCTCCCTGCAGCACTGCCAAGGTATGGCCAAGTGGTATGGAGAGGTGTAAGTGCAGGAAGAACAGCATTGCCAGTGGAGAGATGGAAAAAGGAAAACTTGGCCCGTTTTGAGTCTTGGAGAGGATTAGGAGGAAGATGAGGCTGAGCGGAAAGTGTGTTCTGAGGGAACTCTGAAATAACCCTTGTCCTAAACTGGACAAGAGCTGGTGCTTGGTGTGCAGGTGGGAGAGTCAGGAATGTCAGCTATATCGGCACCTTCTATTGAACACTGCTTAACTGAGCATGTCTGGAGTTGCTATTCTCTGGTGGTGCTGGCCCACATAAAAGGGCTGTCGAGCTGGGTGTTATAGAAACAGACAACCAGAAAGGGAAGGTGGATGCAACTGGTTTTTGAGGCTACAGAGATGGCCAAGAGGCGATAACCCATCAACCTCAAAAAAGACTCACTAAACCTGTTCTGAGGTTTGCAGCCAAACACACAAAACTGTGGCTCTTCCTTTGTTTTTCTCTTGTTTGCTCCCCTCACTGTGAGACTCAGATGGGAAAGCGGGCAATGGCCTGGGGAAAAAGTATTTCAGATTAGAACAGACAAGCAGTGTATCCTTCTGTGTGTTCACGTTTTCAGCCCTGGAAAGCCCTCGTATCCCTCTAGCTGTTAACTGCATGGTATTTCACATCAAGTCATGCTGTGCAGGTTTTTTTCTGGTCTGCTGCTCTTGAAGATGGTTTTTGAAGGCTGCAAAGTTATGTCACGAATCTGGTTCAGGGAGTCTGGCCCACATTACTTGAGTGTTTCTTGCCTTCAGACTCTTTCTCTTCTAGTCCCAGACTTAGAGGCAATTAATTTATTACATGTGGGTTTTTTGCTTGTTTGATTTTTATTTTGCTTTTTGATAATAGGGACTACGTACTTCTGATGTATGTTGGTGAAAGATCATAACAATATCTGTCAGAATGTCTCCAAAGGTATCTTGAGGCACTGGGCAAAGCAGGTCACCAGCTGTGACACTCTCATCGGGCACTGTCTGCCATGGCAGGGTGTTAAACACATCTGTTGGAATGCAATGGCTGTTGGCCATCTGCAGCATGCCGTGACTGTTCAAAACAATAGCTTCAAGCTACAGCCTGACTTCCTTCTCCTGCCTTTTGAATCACAAGTGCATCTTCTGAGTATGTCCAAGGCTGATGTGGTGCAACCACTGTGATCTGGGTTCTTGCTGGGGATGGGCTTAAATTCCAATTTTAGGTCAAGTAGAGGAAGAATGTGAAAGCTGAGCAGCTTGTATCTGTCTTCTTGCCCATCTAGAGATATTCCTGTGGTTTCTTTTGCTTTCTTGCTGTGGATAAATCTGAACCTCTGAAGAAGCCCTAGGTAGAGAGGTGTGTTGAGCATCCCCCTGTCCAGATACTCTAATTAAGCCCAGGGAAGGTGTCCTCAGAGGTGAAGCTCTATCCCCCTCGTTCCTATCACTGAGGGGAGAGCAAGGGGAGCTCTGGCCTAGCATAGGACCCTTCCTGGGTCCTCAGACCCTCAGAAGCAGGTCAAGATCCTGATTACTGGTCTCTGTGGTGGGATTCCTGAGCCTCTAGGTCCTCCACTCCACCTTCTTCATCCTTTCCAAAGCCTCAGCATGGTAATGTAATGTTTTGGCTAGGGTAGGAGAAGCAAGGATGGAGCCCACAGCTGTAACTGGAGGTCATAGTTACACAACCTGTGGTAAAACCTTTGGCCAGCAGTTACTGACAGTGCTGCGGAAGCTGCTGAGGAGCAGTAGAGACATCCTCGGGCTTCGTGCAAGATTGCACAGTGGTCAGCAGGGAGCAAGCCTTCCCCCAGCAGCCTTGCTTCCCCATTCTGGGAAAGGACACACTGAAGTGACTTGTTCTCCATCGCACACAAAGGAGCAGATGCTCTGGTGGCCTTCACCTGGCAGTGTCCTGCATTGATCATCTCTGTCCCATCCATCCTCACTCCACTTGTGTGGTTGTTTGTGCCATTGCTGGCTTCTTCACTGCACAGTGTAATGACAGCAAGGACACTACATGACCCTACTCTCAGTGTTGTTCTCCTGCTGTGGTCTCTCCAGGGACCAGTTACAACGTGGTCTTTCCCTGAGCCAGTCTGAAGGCAACTCTGAGTTGCAGAGATTGGCTCCGCTACCACGCTGTGCTGAAGCCTGGGATGCAAATAGGAGAGACACAAGTGTCCAGTGACACTAACAGCAGCAGGAATGTATCAAGCCTGGTGGAAAACAAAGCTTAGCAAAGAGGGAGGAATGTTGTACTTTAGGTAAGTGGAAAATGTGGCTTTGTAAAGGATTCTGGGATGTTTTATTTTTCCACTTTGGGGATGAGGCTTTTCCTGTTTCCATAGAAAGATAAAAGCATTGCACAAAAAGAAGAGGAGGGGAAAAAAAAAGTCAAATATTCCATATTCCATGTCTTCTGTTTATTCCTGCTGGGCCAGCAAGTTTGATTCAGGATTTGTTTGGATTTCCTCTGGGCCACTGCTCCATCACACAACAGCAAAGCACTCCAGGGCTGAGTCCCATGCAACTGTCCCTTCCTTGTGTGGAGGAAAGCATCAGCTCAAGACAGCTTAAATGATACTCTTTGATTCTAGTGGATGGGCTCTGGCACTGAAGCCCTGGGCACAGCTGGTAGGACACGCATTCATGCCTTGGACATCATCTTCCTCACCAAGGAAAAGCTGTAAGCATGGGTGTGTGATGATAGGTGTGTGTACATCTCTAGCTGTGTTACAGGGAGGGTGTCCAAGACAGCATCAGAGAATGGTTGTGTCCATAAGCAGACATTCCTTTCTCTCTTCCTACAAGTTTGGACAGTGAAGGGCCTGCAGTGCCCTCCTCTACCAAGAACAGCAGACTGATAAACTGGGCAGCTATCTTTGCACTTGCTATTATTTGAACCCTGGTGTGTATCCCTTTAAGATGTGAGGATGGGTTAGCAACTGGAAAGGAAAGCAGAAGTGGGAGAATAGCCCTGGAAAGGGGCCGGAGGGGGGTGAGCAGCCCCCTGAGCACAGATAGCCATTTGCAATGTGTTTCCTGTCCTCCCTGTAGGGCTGGTGTGGGGGTGGCAGTACTGCTTCTTCCCCAGCTCTGTGGCACTGATTCATTTCTCACTTCCCCCACCCTAAATATAGGAGGTGATTCAAAGAACTCGCTGATGTGGCAAAATGGGGGGGGGGGAAATTCCCTCTGCCAAAAGTGGCTGCAGTGGGACCCTGGTTCCCTTTTGTTTGGCCAGTGGAGAAGCCATCTTCAAGACAGTGATGGCATCAGAAATCCTGCTGGGTTGCAATGCCAGTGTCAGCACAGCCTGGCATGCATTGTGCATGAGTGCAGCCACAGGCCTGTGTGAGGAGTTGGCTTTCCTGTCCCTCAGTTTCCCACCACCAAATATGAATTATAATGCTGACTCCGTCTATGGTGTTTTGATGGCAGCTGGAAGGAAAATGCATTGTTTGACTTCATGATAAGTCATAAGTAGGTGTACTTCAAAATCTACTGCCAAGCAATCAAAAAAAATGCATGTGCTAACTCCTGCTCTGCGGCTTTCCAAGCCTGTTCCAGCTCATCATAGCACCAATGCAACAGACAGCCCCAGCCATGGAGCTAAACTTCACCAAATGATGTTATGGGCTAATCACGTTCATATCCTAGCTCTAGCTCTGCCGCAAAAGGAAAACAGCTACAAATACAGGCAAAACCCAACAATTTCTAGGCTAGCATTTGGCCTAATCTGCTCCAGATGATTGCTATTTCTCTCTCAGTACTCTGAATGTTCAGTTGTGAGGTTTTCTTTCTTTAAGTTCATTCCTTAGAGTACCGGGCCATGCTCTGGTAGGATGCAGAATGATGTGAGTCAAAATGCCAGTCTGCATCCCAAGCCTAGCCTCAACACTGTGAACTCCAGCAGAGCATCCTAAAAAGGATCTTTTTTTTTTTTTTTTCATCCTCACTCTTTCTCTTTCCTTTGCAGGCTCAGCATCCCCCGTGATCAGCCCTGATACCTCTGTTCTGGTTGTCAATGTGGGTGATCCAGTCCTCCTGCACTGCTCAGGAGAGTCGGAAGTTAAATGGTATCCTGAAAAGTTTGCCAACCGTACCAGCAGCATGCTCAGTATTCCTAGGACCACTCACAGAGACACAGGCACCTATAGGTGTGCTTATGTCAACAGCAGCGACAAGGGTGTTGCATCTGTGCATCTGTACGTGCGAGGTAACCATTCTTCATTCCTCCCATGTATGCTGGCAGAATGGCCTCTCTTCAGGGAGCATGGCCTTTAGACAGTTCCTCTCTATAATCCATGGTTGTATTAGAGTTTGGAGAGTAGTGCAGGCTCCTAGTGGGAGCAGTTGCCCACCCACAACCATATAAAGACACATATTATGGGGCCTGTGGCTGAAGCACTGTGGTACAGAGCATCTGTATCTTGTGTACACCTGGGATGACCTGGACCTCTTCCTCCTTTTACCCTGGCTTCCCTTAAAAAGCAGTGATGAAAGCCTGTTTGGTGTTGTAATGCACAGTGAGATTTGGAACTTAGGAAACTGGCTACTGCCCTCAAAGAGGAAGGATCACAGGAATCATCCTCACAGTGTAAGCCAAAGCTCCAGTATGCCATGGTATCTCCACCATCTGCGTTCACCCCTTCCTTCGTACAGAGATACTGTCCTGGATAGGGAAGCTGAAGGTCTAACAACTAAAAATAACACTGTTAGGAAAAGTTGAATTAGGGCTAAGCATACTTCTCAGTTTCTCTTGCCTGCATACAGCTGTGAGTTGCTTGCTCTGCTCTCCTCAAATGCCTTAGCTGGAACTGGGCTTGTCATGTGAGTTTTTAGAGGCTGAGTCAGGCAGGCACTAAGCCAGGTTGTCCGAACACTGAACTCCCACTGGGCAGCAGAGCTGGATACTCGCCTTTGCTGGAACATCTCTCTCAGCTCAGTGCCTGCTTTTCTGATCCTGTTCTCTGGTTTATTTCATCTCCTCCACAGATCCCAATAATGTCTGGTACGTCCCATACTTCCGAATCTCTGTGACCAAAGGTGGAAATGCTGAGTTCCCCTGCTTCATCACTGCTCCTGAGTATGGATCCAGTGTGACTCTGATAAGGAATGATGGCTCTAAGCTCTCACCTGGAACCAACTACTCTTTCAGTGCTGAGAAGGGAATAACGCTTTATCACGTGGAACACGAGCAGAAGGGCCAGTACCAATGCCAAACAGTGGTAAATGGAAAAATAGAGAAGTCATCAAGAATAAGACTGATTGTAGTTGAAGGTAAAGGATTGGGATTGCTGCTGTCCATGGGGGGACAGTAGTAGCTAAGCTGGTCACAGATCATTAAGGAAAAGTTCCTAGCCAGCAGCTGGAAAGACTTTCTGAACCTGCAGTTGTTAGGAGGTATTTAGAGGAGGTAAAATTCCACTAGCTTCTGGAAACTTGTCTCCTTTAGATGTGTCTTTATGGGATCTGCAGTGTTCAGCTTGTCGCAGGTACTGTGTACATATGTTCAGCATATTATAGGTACAAACAGAGTTTATTTATGTCTCTGTTCTAAAAGACCTTGGGCCCTGATGGTCAGGATGAAACTATGGCAGAAGGATCCCTTATCTGTAAATCACAGTGATGGCTGCTGCACTCTTCCTGACTTGTATTGCTTCCTGTAGACACGTACAAAAAGTGAGAATCTCAAGGAAAGGAGAAGGGCGTGGGTAAAGAGACTGGAGAGAATGGAAAGGAGGTGTCCAGGCCTTAGGGAGGCTCTGAAGCGCGTGGTGCCAGTGAGCCAGCTGGTGGTGCATCTTTTCCTGTTTGTCTTTGCGTAGGACAAGAGAAGCCTGTACAGGTAATGGTGGACCCTGCAGACCATGTGCGAATTGTGGGTGAACCTTTTGAAGTCACTTGTGTGGTAACTGCTCCTTCCCATAAGTATGACATCAGATGGGTAACAGCAACAAACAGCGTAAGTTAAAGCGCAGCTTCAAAGGGTTATGGGACTTCTCAGGAAACCAGGAGGCATAGGGTGACAAGAATGTCTTTTCTGCAGAAAAGTCTTGAACTGCTTGCCCAAAGTTAGCTATTCAAACAAACCATACAAATCCAAAAATCCTTTCTTTGGGTGATACAGGGTTATGAAACAGCTGCCCATTCTCAGGATCTTGCTGTGGAGCTGAAAAGTATATTGTTTCACCTGAGCTCATTGAGTGGGAGCCAAGGTACCTATTAAGGTGACATCTCTCCACCCTTCTCTGCCAAGGCTTACAAAGCAAAAAGGAAAAGTTCAGAACAAACAGCTTCCCAGAGAAAAAATATGGGTGAAGAAAGGGAATGCACCTCAACATTTCAGAATCTGTTGTACTGACTCTTAACTGTTCAAGGCTTAGATAAGATTTGCTAGAAGTCCTTATGTCCACTTCATTCATGAAGGAGTTGGGGGGAAAAAAAAATATATATATATATATATATGATGTGTTTAATCACACCATGTGAGGACACACCAAGCAGCCAGAAGGCTAACGATAGGTGTACCTATTTGAGGCTAACTGCCTCGAATATTTGTGTTTAATATGCCTCTTGGTCTCCATCTAGAAGACTTTCAGTGGTGGGGCACAGTTGCACAGAACAGAGTATTTTTATTATAAATATAATTCAGTTCCATTCTCTGAGCTTCCAAACAAATGACTGGTGTTTACTCCCTGACAGATTAAGAGTAATGGAAAGCCTGACATAAGTGATGGGAACTACATCATCAATGACACCCTGTCAATTCCAGCTGTGACCATGGAAGACAGTGGGAAATACACTTGCATAGCTAACAATTCAGCAGGATTCAAAAATGCCTCCACAATGCTTCGGGTAGTAGGTAGGTACTTCCCTAGCATACCAGAAAAGTATGGACTGAAGCATGCCTATTCTTGAGTATTTCTTGCTCCTGCCCCAAAGCAGGGAAATTTCACTGCACCTTGTAGGCTTAGGTTTGCTGATGACCCAAACCCACTGCATACTCAGTGCATTACTCAGAAAAGGGACTTGTTCTGAAAGATTTCTGGGTGAGAAGCCAGGAGTTCAGCTAAGGGGGCTTTGCCTTATATAGATCACAAGATATAGTTTTAGCCACATTATTTGTTAGGATAGTGTATAAAACCTCTTACACAGCTTGATCCAAGCCATCGTGACAAAGAAACAACAACTTAAAAGTATTTCTCTATCAACATGAGACATGCAGTGTGTGTAATGCCTCATTCCCTCCTGCAGTCTCACAGCTGAGGCTGCTCTTTCCAATAATGGTCTATTTATAAAGCTGCTGTAAGCTTGTTTCAGGTCTCTTTGGACGTGCCTGCTGATGGTCATGCTCTCCTCCATCCTGCAGAAAGAGGGTATGTGATCCTGACCCCAGTGCAAGCCACGAACCAAGAAGTTGCTGAAGGAGACAGTTTGAAACTCCAGGTCCATATTGAGGCATATCCAAAACTTCTCCACTGGCACTGGGAGCACATGAATTCATTGAAGAATTCTGAGAGCAACAAACTCAATTGCGAAATGGACCCTAAAAACAACTGGTATGTCTTCTTCTATGCTGGCCATAGCCTGTTTCAGAAAATGTTTTCAGTGTAAAATTTGTAGATCCCATGCTGCTGGCTGATAAAGAAGTCTGATTTTAAAGAGGGGAACTGTTTTGCCTTTCTGACTTCTATTTCCAACATTAGTAGCAAACCACAGTGAGGGCTGATCAGATCAAGGAGGACACCACCCCTGACTAACTTGGCAGTTTTCTCTTTAAAAACCTTTTGTAGAAGTCAGTGGTAGGTTTTGCAGTCTTTTTCAAGTTGGCACTTTTCTGCAAGAAGAATTAGGAGGGATGGGGACACAGCACAAAGAGATGGATTCCTTTAGTGCTCCTCAGACCTGCTCCATGGTCTGGAGAATATATATACCAAGAGGTACTATATATCCCATGTCAGGAGAAGACAGACATCCATATGAGGATATGGCCCCACGTACAGGAGGACACAGTCATGCTTTTTCTAAGCCTGCAGCCAAACTGAGGAGTTTGTGCAATTCCCTTTTCATTTTCTTGGGATAACTCGATGCAGGAAGATTAGTGTCTCCTCCAGCTCTTCCAGCACAATGATTTAGATGTTAAACTCCTTTCTGAAACCCACCCAGACACAGCCTTTCAGTAATACTGCACTTGGTGGCACAGTGCCTCTCCTTCAGCAAAGACCCTTCCAGCAGCCCAGTAGGATCAGCCACTTCCTGCTTCCCCAGAGAAGCAATGGTTAGCAGCACTAAGTTGGGAAGTGTTCATCCAGTCCAGGGCACAGGAAACAGCTGCATCTTGCTGAGCAAAGACTGTATGAATGCCTGAGTTTCCTCAGCACAGCTTTCTTCATGGTATTTATTCTCTCTGTAGGAGCAGATGTAACAACACGCTCTTCCTGGGTCATCTGGAGGGAGAAGAGAGAGGTCTCTATACATTTTATGCTCTCAACAGTGAGGTCAACTCATCAGTTACTTTCAGTGTATCTGTGAAAGGTAAATGTTTAGCACTGCTCCTTCCTAAATGCTGCTTGCCCAGAGGCTGCTGCCCAACAGGCAGGGTGTAGGGCTTGTGGATCAGGGCACTTTCAGCCCAGTGCCCAAAGAACACAGACATGCTGCTCTGGGACCCAGCTCAAATCTCTGCATAACACAGGGGGATCCTGAAGTTCTGTTGTTGGATGGAGAATAAATCAGATCACCAGGAATGCACTCTTCCTCTGGTCATAGCGCTCTTCTCTGCTTTCCCCAATAGCTTCTCCAAGGATGTGCAGTGTCATGGTATCAGCCAGTGACTCCAGTAAGCTCCTCTGCACAGCCATCGGCTACCCTGCCCCACACATTGAGTGGTACCAGTGCTCCACTCGCTCTGACAGGTAAGAACTACCTAGGACTGGGCACCACGAAGTACCTCTAACTCTGAAGAGTGCACTTGCAATATTAGTACTTGCTGAGCAGCACAATGTGGACTTTCCTACGGGCCATTTAGCATAATTGCCAGTGTCTCCTCTCTTGCCTGAGACAAGCTCGCTATGAGCAACTGCACTGCAGAGAAACATTCATTCTGTACTGCTTTGCATCCCTACAGATATGAGAACTATATGCTGCTTCTGAATGACTCCAGTCCCCATGTGGTAAATACACTACCCTTCCAAGAGGTGGAGGTGGAAAGCACCTTCCCATTCCAGGATCTAGGGCCCAATTTCACCTTCTGCTGTGTGGCTGTTAACAGCAAGGGGAGCACCTCTGACGTCCTTCACTCAGTCTTCAGTAAGATACCAACTTGCAGCTTGGTGGAATGGGGTGGAATTTGGCTTTTGGTGTCTGTCTGCCTATATGGATTTCCCATGGTCTTGCAAAAAAGGTGGAATATTTTCCATAGGACCTCTGTCATCACAGAAGCTGGGAGGCTTTAGTACTTGCTGCTTCTACAAGCCATGTGGGAACTGCTGGCTGGGGAGAGCCTGATGTCAAAGGCTGTGCCATAAGCCCCTTGTAACTGCAGGACCTAGGTACAGTGCTTAGCACAGCCAGCTGATTGCTCAGCCTCAGAAGCTGCATCTTTTGCTGGGTTTGTTCTTGCTGCTCCTGCTCTGCACCTGGTGCTGTGAAAATTGGAGTGCAGCAGCTCTTTTGAGTGTCTTTAAGGCCACTGCTGGGTTGCATTGCATACAGGGGAAGACTGAATGAACAGCTAGGCAAAATACCCAGGGATTGAAACAGGAGTATTTACTTATCCCCATTTATTTCTCCTCCAGGGAGTGTCATGGCTCCCCCAAACCAACTCTTCAGTCCCATTCTCACCACCTGCATGTGCACATCGGTCTTGCTGCTCCTGCTGCTCCTCTTCCTCCTCTACAAGTACAACCAGGTCAGCCTCCCTGTTGCACAGCAAGGGCTGCAAGGCCTGTCCAGCCTCAGAGGCCACCCTGCCTCAGTGGCAGCCACAGGCAAAGCTTGTACACCAAAACCAAAATGTGTCTTAGCACCTCTCCCACCTGGTTCCTCAGACTTAGAGGTAGCCCAGAGATCAGTGCAGACAGTGCCTTGTGCCAGTTGTGCTCATTCTGTGCTTCAATTGCAGCTGGTTTTGCTCTGGTCACTCTGAGTATAAAGACTTAACTAGGAAAAAAAAAAGTGGTTTGCAATCTGTATCTAACTGTTTCTCCATCCTGCTTTACGAAAAAGCTGCATTAGTGAGGAAGCAGGTTAATATTAGAAGATGTTTGTCTCCAGGAAGGCTAGCTCACTGTTTTTATACAAGAACTTGCCCCATTTTCTCTGCAGGATTTATCTTCAGTGTTGAATTTCCTTTCATAAACTGCGCCAATCAATTGCCACTTCTGCTTCATGGGTGGGTGAAAATCTCCTGGTTTTCAGTTCTCCATTTGGCACCTTGCCTTTTACAGCCCACCAAGGCTGCAGATTTTGCAGAGTTCTGGTGCTGATTGTCACAAGATCCAGCAGAGCCTTTCACAAACAGGCACCCACAGTTTCTCAGGCAGAGCTGTCTTTGGGATGTGCAGCCCTGAAGAACAGCTCCTAGGAAGGCCTTGCAAGCCCAAGAGAAACAGAGCATGTTTGTAAATAATATGGGCTGCTTGAGCCATGGCTGCTTGTTGCAGAAGCAACTGCTCACACTTAGGGTGCACCCCTCTCTGCAGTTATCTGGCAGAAGTGATGAGAAGTGCTTCAGTACACACCTTCCAGTAGCTGGGGCATATATCATGATTTATTGTGGCCATGGTCACTCCACCCACACTTGGCTTTGCCTGCCTTGATGGGCTTGAGACCACTGTTGCCATTCAGGCATGCATCTCCTTGCATGAGCAAAGGCTGCTCACAGTTTTTTTCAATGCTGAGCTCTTCACTGTGTTTTTGCCTCCAGGCTGGGTCCCTGGACCTCACAACATCCATGACAACACTCAGCACAAGCTGCTTCCAGCAGGTGCTGGCACTGTTTTGCCCTATCCTCATCTGGTTACTTCTGCCATAAGATTTGTGGAAAAGAGAAGAAATTCTTAGTTTGGTTTCTCCTTTTTTTTTTTTTTTTTTTTTTTTTTTTTTCCCTGAAAGGGAAGCAAAGCTGGGCCAGCTCCACTGTTCTGCTGTGCTCAGCTGCCCAGAGTACTGAGGAAGGAGGCACAGTGGGGACATCTCCCTCTGGTACCATCTGGGCACTGCTTAGCCACACTCCAGTGGAACATGGTGCCAGCTTTGCTGTGTCAAGTCATAGCTGCAGTGACAGGGGCAAGAAGGCCTCCCTCCCTCGTGGGTGAGGATTGGGAGGGACCTTGTTTAGATCAGACTGTCCAAACTGACTGTCCAAATTGAACATCTCACTCGAAGCAAGATATATTTGGTGGAGTTAAACCCAAGCCTTCTCACCCTGCAGTCACACTGAGAATCAGAGCACTTGCTGAGAGAGGGTAACTCTCAGGACTCGAGCAGCAATGACTAACTGGAGTCTCTTCCCTACAGAAACCTAAGTACCAGGTGCGGTGGAAGATCATTGAGGCCTGTGAAGGGAATAACTACATCTTTATTGATCCCACTCAGTTGCCATACAATGAGAAATGGGAATTTCCCAGGAATAACCTCCAGTTTGGTAAGAAACCTTTCCTGCTGCTTTCCTGGTGGCATGAAACTTGCCACAGAGCTGAAATACTCCAAAGAACAAAGTCAGAGCAAATAGGCAGCATCCAAAGCTGAATCCAGACATGGCAGCAGCATTCTCAACCAGGCTTTGCTGCCCTCTTCTACACAGGGTGCTAAACATTAGAGTGCAACCTCCCTCCAACCCTCTGTTGCTGTAAAGAAGATTGAGAGGATCATGTTTCTCCTCAAGCATCTGGGGTCATCCCTTAACATGTACACTTTGTGAGCACATGTTTGATCTTGGCCTCTTTCATAACATCTTTGCTCACAGTGGGGTTCCCCATAGATGCTCACCACTTTCTGACTAAGAGTTACTCATCTGCCATCTTGCCTGGGCTCAGCAGGAATCCTCACATGGCTATGTGCAGGACAAGTGCTCAATGTCTTTTTAGAAAGCATCTTTTAAGTAATTTTTTTTTCCCCCTGCAGGAAAAACTCTTGGAGCTGGAGCTTTTGGAAAAGTGGTAGAAGCTACTGCTTTTGGACTGGGAAAAGAAGATTCAGTCCTCAAAGTGGCTGTGAAGATGCTGAAATGTAAGCCTGGGCCAACCTGCACAGGTTGAAATCCCCCAAGTTTCTTTGGGCTGGATGTAGTGTGTGTCTATCAGACTGGGTGTTAAGATGTTCCTGTGATAAGTGCAAGTGGACTTATGCTGGTGCAATTATTTGTGGACACATGGCCAGAGGCACAGCCAGAGGAATTAGATTCCTCTCTGCTTATCTCCTCTCGTTCCATCTGTCTATACCCTTGTTATCCCCATCATCTCTTCATTGACCTTTACTGACTCCTTCATATTATCCTCATCTCGCAGCAACAGCAGACACAGATGAGCAGGAGGCTCTCATGTCGGAGCTGAAGATCATGAGTCATTTGGGACACCATGAGAACATTGTTAACCTGCTGGGAGCGTGTACCTACGGAGGTGGGATCCCATAAACCTGCTTTCCTGAGCAGAACCCTTTCACGGCCTGCTTCTCCAAGGCTGTTATTGGAGAGATTTGATGATTCAGCTGGCTTTTTTTCTGATCCTATCAGTTTGCAAGGATTTGTGGGCTGGCTATTTCCAGCTGTGCTTGCATGCTGGGTGGGTTCTGCTGTTCCTCCTCCTTCCCTGCCCCAGCAATTTTCAGGGACTTGTTTCCTTTGGATGGGTCACACTAAAGTCACTTCTTAACAACCTCCTTCTGCCTTTCTCCCAGGTCCAATTCTTGTCATCACCGAGTACTGTCGTTACGGAGATCTGCTGAATTTCCTGCGGAAGAAGGCTGAATACATAATTATCCAGGACTCAGCTCTGGACACCTCTTTGGACAGCACTGCTGATTACAAAAACATTGAGTTGGAGAAAAAATACATCCGCAGGTGAGAGCAGGACTGTGGTGGCCACAGGGCTGAGCAACGAAGGGTGTACTGGGGAGAGATTAATGCCGAAGATCAGGAACTTGCAGATGGGTGCAAAAGTAGACATGGATGTGGTTTCTGCCACTCAGTGGACATGGAGGAGGGCAGAAGGCACTGCTAGGAGGCTGCTGACAGCCTGCTTCTCTTTGTTGCTCTCTGACTCAGTGACAGTGGCTTTGCAAGCCAGGGTTTGGAAACTTATGTTGAAATGAGGCCCATATCATCATCATCTTCAGCGTCATCAGATTCTGCGCAATCCAGGGGTGAGTTGAAGATCCATTCTTGTATTTGCATCATTTCTTCAGACTGACCATCTGGTCTGGCTTAGCTCAGGGGAACTGGGATACAACATGGCTTGCACTACTTACCATCTTCGCAGCAACCCTAAAGCTTCCGTTTGAATTTCAGGGAAAAGCTCAGAGGAAGATGAAACCAGAGAGGACCTCCGGCCCCTTAACCTCTCTGACTTGCTTCAGTTCTCCAGCCAGGTGGCACAGGGCATGGCATTCCTTGCATCAAAGAATGTGAGTGCCTAAGAGGACCACTGCACCCTAGTAGGTAGCACCAGTCCACCACCAGCAGCCAGCTGTCCTTTCTGCTCAAGGCTTGGGAGGTTTTCAGATGAGATGGTCAAACTCAACTGTGCTGCTAGAAATGGGCCTCTCTCCACTTTCTGGGTTCATACATGCTGGGCTTCAGTGCCCAGTGTTTCCTGTGGAGCTTGGGATTCAGACAGGCCATGATGCAGCAGGACAGAGCTGTGCATCATGCTAGTCTGCCTCAGTATTTTCTGCCCAGCTTTTACATGAGGTGAGGAACCTTGATGCGGAGCTTTCTCGCACTAGCAGCTTCCTGCTGCCCCAGGGACAAGGAACTGAAAGTGGCTGTTGAGCTGCCTCAGTGGCAGAGGACAATTGTATAATGGCTTCATATGGGACACTGTGAGCAGTGCCCTGCTCCTAAACTTTGCCCCCACAGGGAAGTTGAAGGCTCATCACTAATACAGCTGATAATGCCACAGTGTTTTAGCACTGCAATTGGAGCAGTTGAAAGGAGAGAGCCTATACTCACTATGCATGACAGTGCCTTTTCCAAGAGCTTTTCAAGCAGCACATGCTCTCCTTGCTCCTGTAGGATTTGTTATGGTGACATTCTGAGGCTGTAGGGACATCAGTGGGGTCTCAGTTATGCTCTCTTTTCCCCAGTGCATCCACCGTGACTTAGCAGCCAGGAATGTGCTCGTATCAGATGGACGGGTAGCTAAGATTTGTGACTTTGGCCTGGCCCGTGACATCATGAATGACTCAAACTACGTTGTAAAAGGCAATGTAAGTGATTGGAGTGGGGACTGGAGAAGGTACAAGGGTGAGGTGCAGCCAGAGCATGGACAGGGTGCAGTATAAACTGCCTGCTTGTCCCAGGCTGCAGGGTTCTCTCCTCTTCCAGGCCCGCCTGCCCGTGAAGTGGATGGCCCCGGAGAGCATCTTTGACTGTATTTATACAGTGCAGAGTGATGTGTGGTCTTACGGCATTCTTCTCTGGGAGATCTTCTCCCTTGGTAAGGAAGAGGGAAGCTTGCAACCCTCTCTTGTTTTCCATGGCTTACCAACACTTTAATGTCTGCAGGAAAGGAGGGAGGTTGGAAAAATCTGGTATATATCAGGGCTTTAAAACACTGTTTCCTGAGGGACCATTAGAAGTATTGGGTCCCGGAAGATTTGCTCTAACTCAGAGCTCTGAGTGGCATTGGCTCCAAACTGCCTCTGATCTGAGTGCTCCTGTCACAGGTAAAAGTCCCTATCCTGGCATGGCGGTGAACAGCAAGTTCTACAGCATGGTGAAGCGGGGCTATCAGATGGCCAGGCCTGACTTTGCTCCCTTGGAAATGTGAGTGGTGCACTGAGGTGTGCAACAGGTGGAAGGGGGACTGGAGCTGCTTTGTATGGAGTGGGTGGTGAAGATGGCATGGTATGTCAGTCACAGGTCTGTGGGCTGCTCCCAGGGAAGCTCTGCGGTAGGCACGTGAGGTTTAGGGTTTCTCCATGCTCACACGCAAAAGCAGGAACCAGAGCAGTCAACTATGATGCTCTGCCCAGTATCCACTGCTTCCAGCCAGGAAGGTGGGAGAGCTCATGCTATCTGTATGTTCCTAAACGTGGCAGTTTTATTTTTTTCCTTTCAGCTACTTTTAACTCTAGCAATGTGAGAAGACAAGCCTGAGGAACTTACAGGAAAGGAATGAGTTTAAGCTGAAGTACCAAGCATAAAGCCTCTTGCAGATAGATGTGGGGACATAAGATGTTCGCTCTATCTGTTCTTGTGCTCTCATTTCCCTGGGGACGCTGTGCTTACACAAACCAGGAGTATTATAGACAGGAAAATAGAGAGGAGGGGGCTGCTCAGGACTGTGTGCACAAATACAAAGTGAATCACTCTACTATGCTGCTGCAAAGAACTAGGGGTGCAGACTCCCAGCAGCTTTGCAGAAGTACAGCACAACTCTGTCCCTCTTTGGCTTTGCAGGTATAGCATCATGCAGGCATGCTGGAGCCTAGAGCCCACACAAAGACCTACGTTTGACCAGATCTGCTGCTTTATTCAGAAAGAACTGGATTTGCATAAGGAGCAGGTAAGAATTCTTGGAGAGGAGAAAGCACATCTTCCCCCAACTCCTTTCTTCCTACATCAGCATAGCTTCTGGGCAGTTTTGCTGGTGCCATCCCCAACCTTTAACTAATGGAAGCAGCTCAGTATCTGTAGAAGTGGGGAGAGGTATCCAGATGGTGAAAGGTAACAAAAGCAGGCTGGACACAGAAATAGGGTTACTTAGCAGCAACCTCCATGGGCAGCAACATAAGTGCAAATGAGAGCAGTCTGAAACATGCCTTTTTTTTTTTTCCTTCCTGCTTTCAAGGACTATACAAACCTCCCATCCACTGCTGAGGAAGACAGTGGCTGTGACACCTCTGGCTGCTGTGAGGAGTCCTGTGAACAAGAGGAGAGTGGGCAGCCCCTTCTCAAAGGCAACAACTATCAGTTCTGTTAGCTGGTGCCATTGCCCTGGGGTGGATCCTTGTCCTTCTCTCTCTGCAGAGTGCATGATTCTGCATGGATGCCTTCAGCTTTGGCTCTCCTCTCTGTGCTTTCTGAAGTATGAGAGTATGAACATCACTGACTCCCTCACTGAAAGGACAGTGCTAGAGTGACTCAAAACCAACACTCACCATGGGGGCCCTAAAAGCCTTATCTCCATCTCTACAAGGTGCAGAGGTGCCATCACCTGCCCCTGCTCCCAGCACCCCTGAAGGGGACTGTGAGGTGATTTTGGTTGTTTTTTAAATACTAGTTGCAGCCAAGTAGGATATTTCCAAAAGTCGCTCACGTGCCTGAACCTTGTTCTCTAAGTACCTCTTAAAATGAGCCCTTGAAGTGGGCTCTGCCTCCCCTGCCCAAAGCAGACCTCTGCTCTCTTCCCTTTGCCAGACTGACTCTGGATGTTGCAGAATGAGTGGTTAGATATAGATAAATCTCCACTACGCATTAAAGATGCATTAACCTCTAGGTTTCCTCATGCAATCTACCTCTCTGCAGCTAGTGCTTCTGCAGGGACTGGTGGGTGAAGTGTAACAAGGAGCCAATCCCAGGGCTCTGTGAACCTGCACGTGCCTCATGAACAGGAGAGGGGCAGTTATTTCTCAGGCAAAACAAAAGAGGTGAGAAGTGCTCTTCTACATGAGCACTGAACACAATCCCAATCTAGGCAAGAATGGCAGCTCAACCAGACCTGGAAGTTTTCAACATAACACATCTTACAAAACTTTTGCATTATTAAACATGTAGCAATTCACTGCCGCCTTCTTGATTACAGACATGCTCTTGTACATATTTTCTTGAATGTATTTTAATAATACAGCTGAAATAATTTTTTTTTCCTATAAGCTAGGGCCTAATGCCCTTAAATTTTTTCCTCATCTCATTTTTGTTCAGGGTTATTAATGCCCTAGCCACGTTGTCCTGTGTAGCTATCAGAAGTAGCTGGTAAATCTTCTTAGCTTCACCTGACTTGAGTGGTAAAGGATCAGCATTACAGGCACAAGCACTGACATGGCTTAGGAAAACTGCAGCAAGACAAACCTACTGTGTGACACCTAGCCTTCATCAGACCATTATGTTGTGGGCCACTTCTGATTGTATTAAACCTGTTTTTATGCTAACACCAAGTGATTCATTTCTCCTTACTAAATAAAAAGCTAATGTCATTTCCATCTGTCAACATTATGAAGAATAAAGTGTTAAACAAAGTAAGTCTTCCCCAGGGTTTTAAGGGCTGTTCTTAGGGTAAATGGATTAGAGCATGGATAACAAACCCACTGTCCTCTCATACCCTGCAGCTCTGCTCCAGTTCATCACACATAATTCTCATCATCAGTTCTTAAAACCACTGTCTTGTGTAATAAGAGAGGAAATAAGAGAAGCACATTAAAAGGCCTTTACTCTGAATGGCCTGTTTGTAATTCATAATAAAAAGATGTCACTGTCACCTGCTGCAGAAAGTCATCAGGGAACTGCAGAATGAGAGTAGGCTGACCAGGGGAGCTGGCCATCTCATTCTCATAGACCTGCCATTGCTCCACAAACCTTGTTAATTCCATCTGAACTCTGCTGAGCCTGGAGATGAAAGAATGGATTTAGATCATTTTTGCAAACTGCAGATGTATCCTGAGAGACGTTCCAAGCTATCTGGGTAAGAGAAGCACTGATAGTACTGAGCAGCCTCTTAAAATATATACATATGAAAACCCTAGGAGTTATACAAGGGCCTGAACAATTTCTTGAGCTGTTCTTCTCATACCACGCTGCTTCTGAGAATACCAGGCTTTCTGTCTGTGCAGACTGGAAGCACAGTTTACACACACACACAGTGCTTGTACCCTTTCCCACTGCAGTCTTCAGGTCTTGTAGGCAAAGAACAACTCACTCGGCTGCAGTTTCACCCCCAAAATTGGAGATAATTTATTAAATTTTATCACTGACTGAAAAAAGTCACTAGCATCTCTTATAATAAGTTAATGTTCTTAACAGAAAAACCCCAAGCCATAATTACTGCATGTGCTCAGACTTGATACATTTACTTTTACAGTACGGTACTCAATAGGTTCCCCTTCACAGAAGGGAATTTTCAACCACACCACAAGCCTCTGAATCTTCCCCCCTGCTCACTCAGACAAACTAAACTCCCTCCATAGTTCAACACCACTCTCTCCTCTGCAGCACAGCAAACAAAAACCTTCAGCTTTGGTGCCAGCGACAACCAAAGGGACTTGACAGCAAGACACATAGAGCTTTACAGTCAGAGCCTGAGGTGTTCTTTAGACATGCTGCAGGAGCTGAGAAAGCAGCCAGGACAGCAAGAGGCTCCTCTAACTCACAAGTGCTGTGGGACACAGGCAAGGTGAATAAGACACCTAGGGCACTAAGACTGCACATGTTGATGCAGCTCTCCAGTGTCTATTCTGAGGGAGGACCTCACAACTCTGCTCACTCTGGCAATCCTGCATTGTTTCTCCTTGATCTCACAGTCTTTGTGACTCAGTTCTAAGGGCACAGTAACAGAAATTCAAGTCCTTAAACAAAACAACAACAGAAAGCATTCAAGAGGACAGCATAGAAATGGGAGTGTCCTTCCTATTTTCACAGCTAACACCTCATACAGCCCCCTAATGAACTTGATTCCCTGGGGCCTGACAGGTAAACTCTTAATGTACAGAACACCATTTACTTGCTATGTGTTTCAGCTTCTAAATTATTAGTGCTCATGTGAGGGGACAAATAATTCCAGACAGCTTCAGCAGCCAAAATACTCTCAATCCTGGCTTCAGAATGGCAGCCTCCAGGGAGGCTCTCAGACAGGACACCTTAAAGCTTCATGGCTCCTCCTCTTCAGCTAAGGACTCCCTGAAGCCCATGTGTGAGAGCTCTGCAGGATTTCCAAGCAGGAGCCATTGTCCTAACCTAATCTGTCTGGAACATTTTGGAACGAATTAGTTATCTGCCTTTTGAACCTATTCCCACATCCTCAAGCCCTGCCACCAGTATGCACAAAGAAGTCAGCAAGCAAGATTCAGAATTAAGAAACCTGTGCACTTGGCCATGCATACCCCCTGCTACCAGAAACATCATTTGCTTCTCCACTTGCCAACTGCAGGGAGGGCAACTGCACACAGCTGAGGAGTGGGTCCGTCGCACACCTCACACAGAGGGAGCTGCAGCCTTCAGCAAGGAGTGTGGCAGACCCACTCACAGCAGCATTTGTGACACTCTGGAAGCACACAGCTCTTTGGTCATTAAAAGCAGTCAAAGCCACCGCTACTACACCTCCAATCTGTAAAAATAAGTTCTTGAGCCAGACAGCTGCCCAAACCCTGCAGAAGCTGGCCCAGCTCGCAACCAGAGAGAGAAACCAGCGAGTTGGTTTGTTACTAAGCAACGTCTTTATCATTTTCCTGCTTCTCTTCTTCATCCTCTTCTGTTTCTGTTTTAATCTGTGCCACTCCGAGCCGGTAGAGAGCATCACGAATTACCACCTCCCCAGGCTGACAGCTCTGTACAATCTCCTGGATCTGCCGATTCACAATTTCCCTGCTGGTGAGGAAGTCCATAAGGCGATTGTAGAGGTAATAATGTGTGGCATTCTCAAAGGTGATGGGCCTCTGGCGGATGTTGCTAGTTTTGCTGTCACTGATAGCAGTGATGATGGTGCTGTAAGGCTCCAGCTCTCGGCACAGGGAGATGCAGTGGTGCCGAGCTGTTGGATCGTGATGACTGTTGTGCTCCGAACCGGTGTGAACAATTCGGCGTGCTGTTGACTTGGTGATTGGGTGCTGAACGGAGTGCTCAGCCACAGTCATGTCTACACTGTAGTGCTGGTCCAGCAGTTCGGGGCAGGAGACGTACTGGGAGAGAGACACACACCAGGTAGAACCAGAACAAACCTCCCCATAATTAAGAACAAGATAAAACTACCATTCAGCTGAATTCCAAGCAGAACTGCAACCTGAGTCATGCTTCTGAATGGCACAAACGTAGTTGGTTCTGTACGCTCCCTTTCCCACTCTAATGCCCCTACAGATAATCCCAAGGCACTAGCGGCCCTCTTCCTATCCCATTTCTCAAGTAATAGCAGTAGTTTGAGAGCAGTGAGTCAAAATAAGCTACATGCTCCAAAGTTCATGAGTTGAACTGCTACAGGGCACTTCCCCCTGTCTATATACACTATATAAATCAGTTTTATTGTAGATTTTTGTAGGTGGACATAACTAACCGCTGGAGGATCCATAGGGTCAGAGAAGCAGCCTTGATTTTTCCCCCACAGCTGGGAAGTCAAGTCAGGACAGTATATGTCTGCACACAGTGCCACTGAAGAGGCCGTATCGACAACATACACTGGAGGCCAGTGACGTGAGGAAACCAGCAGGTCCACATGATCCCGAGCATTTTCTCCTCTTACTATGTACTTTGAGCCACACACAACCTGGAAAGAAAAGGATTAGTACCAAGCAGCACAATAAAACTGAAAACTTACAACAATAGAAAATTAAGAAGAATAAATTAAGCTTCTTTTCAGGTATTCCAGACAATACAGTAACCAAACAGCTACTTCCTCTGAAAATACTGTTTCCTCATCACACATAACCATTTTATGGTGTGCAGAGCTTCACCTCAGCAGAGGCATCTGACAGGCATCCCACCACTGGTCAGTCTCAAGATCTCCTGCAGGACTGCTCACACACCAGGCCCCTGAGGCAGCACGTTTCATGCCCAAGGCTCACAGAGACCCACTGGACTCATTTTAACAAGGGAACTCCACACTGGTCACTCAGGTAAGAGAAGGCTACTGCTAACTCCAGCCTTCCTTACCTGATGTGGACACACTTTGTAGATCTTTCCTCCTGTGTGGTAAGCAGAGGTTTGCCTGATGCTTGTCCCATTCTGTACAAAGTCATAGAGAGCCAGGAGGGAGTAACAGAGCTGGTCCTAGAAAAAACAGGCACCAGAGACGGTCTGAATATGACAAATTAATGGACTCTCCCAAAGACAGAGCAGGCTGCAGACAAGGTCTTCCAAATGCTCATTTACACATTGTCCAATAACTTTCTAATTCCAGTCAGCACCACAAGGATGCCAAGCAATTACATGATGTGGAATCTGTGACAAGGTAATTACAGGCTTCTTTTTTTCCAGTCTCCAAAGTTTTACAACGTGTAAGTAATCCTATAATCTGCAGGCACCCTTCTAACCCACTCCTGCCCCTGGCACAGTCAAATGAGAAGTTTATTATCTAAGATGGCAAGTGCAATTTAGGGAAAGACAGTGACAAACAGCTCCACTCACGCAGACTGGTATGTGAGCAAATTAGCCATTACCTTTGTATCTGAAGGCTCCCAGGGGATGCTGCACTGTGTCAGAAAGCTCCGCAGCTCTTCCTCACTGTAAGAGCTTATCAGCTCAAGCCTGAAGGTTTCTTCCTGAAGGAGCCTCACCAAGGCACTCCCATTACCTGCAAAAGCAGGAAACGTTTGTTCTCAGGAAGAGAAATCATCACCACATCTAGTTCTTAATAAGCACCTCAGCCATTACCTGGCACTGGCTGTGCATCCAAGTTCTTGTCCTTCTCAGTATTGATGACCACTGCTCCTCTCATCAATGGGGGGAAGAAAGGAGCAACAATAGAAGCATCAAACTTTGTGATGGGGATGCTAGAAGGAAAAGCCACCTGCTCAATCACCTCTGTCTCCATTGTGGACCAGAAGTCTTCCACATTCACTTCACTTGATGACAAGAATTCTGGCCAAGTAAACTAGAAAGAGCAATAGAGCAAACTGGTCAAACATAAATAACCACAGCTCACTTGGTAACTGCAGCCTCACTCAAAGCACAAAGAATACCCAGAAGAGTGGTCATCCCAAGTATAGCAGGATGACATCAGGCTCCTTTTCTGTCCTGGAGCTCCCCACAATCACTTTTCTTTGGGTGAAAGTCAAAACCATTTATTTGACATAAAACTACATGTTCTGTATAGTACTACAAGGGCATTTTTCTCCATTTGGAAAGACAGCAGCTCCATGAAAAAGAAATTTTAAAAAAATTATTTTGTATCACAGGAGGAAGGCAAATTTTATCCAAGGTCCCTACTGTCAGGCTGCTGGACTGCAGCTGTGGTACAGGCACTAAGGATTCTGTTTTCTCCAAACAGCTCTATGAGGAAGCACAAACATCACCACTCCAGCCACATCCTCTTGCCAAGCATCAGCAGAAAACTGCTCACAAAGGCTCACATAATTGTTGTCCATTGCAAAGACCAGACTCAGCAAAAGTCTTTATGATCTGCTTTGAACATGAACAGGATGCAAAGTCTCTGAAAAGCTTACCTCTATATTTTTCAGTGCCAGAACATTTTCTACGTTCCTCTGGGCTATTTCCACCTTGGGGGTTATGCCACAGATTCCACAGATCATATCATTGTAATCCCGGACAGTGAGGCATTCAAAGGCCCAGTAGCCATTGCACAGCAGTTCCTGGAGCTGAACCTGCTCATCTGGGCTCAGGCTTTTTTCTGAAAGGAGAACACACCACCATTACAGCTTTCACTTCCTAAAGTCAGTGGAGAGATAGTAGAACTCTCCTATGCAGGAGAAAAACAAACCTGTCCTCCAGAGAAATGCTAAGGAGAACTGATCACAAAGGTACTGTTGTGTTTAGGAGGTGATTTAACAGAAACCTACCATACCAGAAGAGGTGGATTTTTTCTTTTTAACTTAACAGACTTCAACAGGTCACAGAATTTAGTCTGTTATGGTAAAAAACAAAGGGGAAAACCCACCAGTTTGCTCCTGAACAGAGTTGAGAATATTGCCAACAGCCACTCTGGGATCCTCTCCAAGTTTGATGTGGTTCCGGATTGCAAACAGAAGATCCAAGCTCACTAGTAACTTGTTACCCACATTGAAAAGGCCTGCAATTATAAGAGATAGTTACTGCCTGTATGGTTCCAGATATCCCTCACAATTATATACACTCCTTTCTTACTGATAGCAAAATGCGTACGCAGGTACAGCTCAAAAATAGATGGATATAACTGGATAGTGCTTCCATAACTGTTCCCAGCATTTATCACTTAGACAGAGGAGACTGACAACAAGGAAGCCAGGCATGGTCTTCATCAAAGTATTTGTTCATACAAATACAGGTTTACTTACAGAAACAGGAGAATTCAAGTAAAAAATAATCATATTTAATACAGTGGGGCACATAAGAGGCTCTTCTATGCAGACAATTTGCTGATACAATCCCAAGGCTTCTGATGGTGTTAATCTGTACTCGTGCTGTAAGTTTCTGCACTCATTTTTTTCCTACCTGTGTAAATATCAGTGAAGCTATGGAGAGCCAAACACTGCAGGTTCAAGCACACTTTGACCTGAGCTGTAACCACCTGTAATCTATTAGCTGTCAGCAGCCAGCACTCCTGAGGACCAGCAAGGGAACTGTAACAGACAAGCAAAAGACAGCTCAGAGTCAAGGCAACAGGTTTTTCAGTTCAGGACTGCAGTAACTTAAGTTGTTTGAGTTCAGATCAGTTCACACATATGTCATTCTCAGCCAGTTCACATAAATTCACCACAGACAGAAAATTTTGAATTTTTAAATAGATTTCAGGTCACTGTTCACATTCTTTACACAGCAATAAGCTCCACATATTGAACACACAAGATATGAGGGATATAGAAAACATACAGGCCCAGGTGCCCTGAGAGAAGTATCAGCCATAGTGCCACAGAGCAGCAAATGGTGACTAAGAACAAGCTCTGCCCAAATCAGTCCCAGCATACGCACAGGTTCAGAAAGGCCCATTCCCTTACCACAAGGATCCAAGGAGGAAGTTCAGACAGGAAAATGCCAGTTGCACCCTAGTGGCACAGATGCAGCTGTCCACCCAGGAAAACAGGAATTAAAATTCAGAGTTAGCTCTCCCTTCCACTGGCAGCAGCTTAATTAGAGCCAATGCAGGCAGGAAGGAGATATCCTATGGGCTTTTATGCAAAACTAGGTAAAGGAATCTAGACTGTGCATTGGTAGTTGCAGAGTCTTTGGGGTTTTTGGGCACTGGGTGCAAGAAAAGCTTCACTCAAGACCATTCTAGGCTATAAAAAGAATGGAAACATCATAAGCAAAATGATCCACACAGCAAACATTCAGACTGGGAAGAGAAAGAAAAAGGGAAATCACATAACACGCATCTATAATCCCACAGTTTTGCCTGTCAGCCTCAAAACATCAGAATGGAAAACAAAGAGGGGATGAGTAATGAAGACTTCATTCCAAAAAAAATCAAACCTAGACATAGCAGTTACACTTTGATGAAGCTCTTCTGCTGTATGGTAATAGCAACCATGGCAAAGTGAACGTTACAGGAGAAACAGAAACTGCTTAGAGTTATCCAGAGAAGCTCTTCCCACAGACATGTAGCATACTGTCACTTACACCAGCTTTAGAATTGGAGTTAAAGCAAATATTACTTCTTGCATACTTGTAACAGAGAATATCAGCACAGGGTTGAAAGAGTCACAAGTCTAAAACAGAATCTTACTTCTGTCCCCCTTTGAACAGTGGGCTGTTACAGAGGAGGCACTGCGCAGATGGAGACTCATAGTAGTTTGACCAGGAGGTCTGCTCTATGGTGACTGTCTCCTCACTCACGTTGGACAGGATGAGCCGTGAGCTGTTCAGTTCATGGATGAGTGTGAAGACCTCAGCCAGCTCCGATTCATTCTCTGGGATCTGCATTACTTTGCGCAGCAGCTGCAGGGTGGATTGACGCTGGATCTCCTTCTGGGATGGGGTTAGGGGTTCACTGGTGTTCAGCACATCAGGCTGACCTGGACCGACCTCCTAGAAAGCAAACAAAACACATTTTAAACTAGGCAAGTGTGGGGATGAAATATGAAGAAGCCTACAGAAGTCACAAAAGGTAACAGCAGCACAGTGACCTTTGTTCCCAGAAGACTTGACTTCTACTTCACTGCACTCCACTAACCGCAGATTGTAGTTTCAGGCCTAAGTCACTTCACCCAAAATACTTCTTCACAGCATGGCCTTTTGGGGAACTTCTGTTATATCACTAGTTCATCATAGGCTTATCACTAAACTGGAGCATTACTGCAGGGACTGAGGATCAGGAAGGATCGGGATCAACAGGGCAACAAAGCCTACAATACTTCTGTCAAGTATCACTGTCTGTCTCCACATGCCATCATCCACATTTTCCTACATACCGTGCTCAGACAGCTACAGCAGTCTGCATACCTCCACAGGAGCCAGAACAGACAAGTGTTACACAGGAACCAAGCCTTGCCATGTGTGGAATACACTGATGGATTCCAACTGATCTGCTACAGACCATTTTCTCAGACATATGCCCCTCTACCAAGTCAAATACACAGGATCAAACTCTAGGTGACTCAGAAGAACTGAAAGAACATATACAGACCAATCTATTTTAATCACACCAACCTTTCTGCCAAATTTCAATCTGTTTTCCTGTCTAGTCTAGCAATGAGACAAACAATCAGTCCAAAAGCACAGAGGTAACACTGAGCTGTGCAACTGAAATGCTGAATACAACTAAAGCAGAAAATTAAGGAAAAAAAAACCAACAACAAAATAAATGAGGAAGAGACAAGCCACATGCCTCTCAAAATGCAAGCTGAGCTAAGTGTGCTACTGTTCCTTACACATCTGCTTATGTGTGGGTTTCACATGGGCCACTTCAGTTTGTTGCGTTTGGGGAGTTTTATTTTGCTTTTTGTTTGTTTTTAAACAATGCACAAAGCCATGCGCTTCAAAATACATTTTATAAGAAGTGGAAGAGTCAAATTACCACACAGACTAAAATGCTGGCTTTTAAAATAATAATTCTGTGAGAGAAAAGCTAAGCTGTGAAACTTCAAATGCAAAAAAAAAACAACCCAAAACCAAACGAAGCCTACGATTCATTATTTACACCCATGTACAACAACAGGAGATATCTTGAACAACATCTTTCCACAGCAGAAAAAAAAATACTACATCCAGAAATAAATTCAGGCTGGAAGTAAAGCTGCACTACAAACCCCTAAAAATAGGAAGCTCTAACACAGGATGTACTCAGATGTACAAGATGTACATTTGCCACAAACTGGTCACAAAGGAGACCACGCTTGGGAGTTTTTTGATGAAGTCTGAAGTTCCACTAAGCTGACACAACTGTGACTTCAGGGATGGGTTCCCAAGCACGTACCAACATGCTGTAAACATTTGTAAGCTACAGAGACATCCAGTGGTAGAACAGAGTGCTGTCAGTCTCAGTGTGAGCCTGAAGCACCACTGCTGAACAGAAGAAAACATCATCGCAAGTACTGCAGTAGTATGTTAATCTGTAAAAAACAGACTTACCAAATGGGAAAAAAAAAAAGTAACAGGTTCTCATGGGAACTTGCAAACTTCCTCATCTACTCCACAACATCCCTTTGAAAGATCAAACCTTACCAGAGATTTTCCTGTTTTCTCAGCTCTGTCTTTGGCAAGATTATAGCCGCATTTTGGGCAGATTCGTGGCTTGTGCCTGTTTGTATACACGTAACTACAAGATGGGTTCTTGCATTTCCCTCTGCCACGTGATGTTGCCAATCCCAAATCCTGAAAGGACACAAGAATTACATTTGCTGACCTTGACTGTAGAACAGTCTGCTGGAATATCGTATGCTTTTCCCAAGCACTTAGTGTGAAGGTTATATAATGGCCTTGTCACTTTGTACATAATATTTTTACTGGCATCCAAAAGTTTAGGGTCAAATCCCAGAGACCACAGATACTCCATACATTCAACTCAGAAACCACCAAATCTCCCTCCTAACACTTATAGGGGATGGTGACAATGCAGGTATGAAAATAATCCAGTTCTTAACATGACTGCAACATATCACAGTCAGACTAGATAGGTGAACAAATGACAAACAAAGCACACATCTCCCCACGTTAAATACAGAACACGTTTCTGTAAGTCAGTTAAACAAAAGCCATGAGAGCAGCCTCAGCCCAGAGATAACAATTCCCACAGTGTAACTCAGATCATCTGAAAAATTCTCACCAAAGTTACAGTGCAGCTGTACTTGTAGGAAGGGAAGACGTCCGGTTTGACCTCCACTACTTTAACCTGTGATGCCCTGTTGGTCAAAGCACTGTGGAGCTGCAATGAAAGCAGAAAAAAACAACACCTGTGAGATACCTACAATGGAGTACTCACGTCTTGTAAGCAAATACATACTAACTTTTTTTTTTCCCCTCTCAAGAAATCTGAAAACATTCATTAATATCCATGGATTACAAAACACTGTTTTGCATACCAAGGCTTTAAAATTCAGAAGTATTTGAGCATATTTGCAAGCTTTGCTTCTTTACTCGATCATCTTTCACAGATTCCATCAGTATAAGGTCAGTATTACATTTCAGATTATCAAAATGCTACCAGACCTTGTGACATCTTCTGGAAGCTACTGGGAAGTTTTCAAAGCAACCAACCAAAGGACTGTCCAACAGCAACAGCAGTTCAGTTCCTAGCCTCAGCGATCTAGAATTCATACTGCACTGCTTCAGAGCCACCTCATAAAAACTTTCAGCCATAATTTCCATCATCATCAGGCTGCTACACTGTCATATTCTATCTTCCATCCTTCAGGTCTAAGGAAAAAAATGCCAAAGAAAAAAATGTGCATTTGAAGAACAAAGCACAGGTACCTTGCGCTCGTCAGCACTGGGTGGTTGCAGAACTGACTGGCCCAACTGCTTCAGTGTACTGGGCTTCAAGCCTGATGTTCTCACAGGAGGATGTTTGTCTTGAAGAAGGAAAAGAGCACAGCAGGTTAGATATGGGAACACTGTCTTTGGTGAATGACACCACAGTCACATGAGATACCTTCCTCTGAACTTGAAGTGATCCAAGCAGGTGTTTCATGCACCATTTACCTGCCCTTCTGGTTAGAAAGAAAAGGAGGGTATTTTTTACCTAGGATAGCTCACTGTCTCCCTTCAGACATATCTCATTATTTGACAAAGACCACTTCAATACGGTGAGGAAAGACAATCACTCCCAAAGCATACCAGAGACCCAGTATTTTACCAGTATTCGCAAACGCCTGTCTCTTGCTAGCCTGCTCAGTGCTGGCTTCTCTCCCCACGCTGGCTGGTGCGGGCAGAATTGCTCGCATGGGCCTTGCTGCAGCCAGCAAGGAGGGCTTCGGTCTTGGTTTACTCTTTACTTCTTGCCCTTTGTGTGCAGCAGCTGGAGCATCAATTCTAAAAGACAAGAGCTACAATCGGAAAAAAATTCCATGTCTTCCTTCTCACCCTCAATTTTCTTCTCTTTCCTGAACTGTGCTTTATTAGCATGATCATCATAGCTATTGTAGCAGAAAGGAAAATTGTGCTAAAGATACATCTGCACTGAGAATACTACAATAATTTAATTGTCACTTAAAAGAAAAAAAATAGCTTTGATGGACAAAACTGTCTCAAAGGAACAATCCTGAACTGGCAGAAAGCAGACGGTACACAGAACGGGTCTCGCGCGAAGCACTGCCAGCAGTCTTCGATTTCTTGGATTTGTCCCATCAATACACAACAGACATCACACATTCCCATAACATATGGAAAACTGACTCACACCACAGGCTTTTTTGCAGAGGCATTTGGACTCAGCACCTCGGAAGATGGTGGCATTCCCAGCCCTATGCTATCTTTTTCTGCCTGCTCTGCAGAAGAGTCTCCTCGCAGTTGGCTCTCTTGACCCAGCGTCACTCCAGCAGCACTCCCTCCATCTTCAGCAAGCACATTGTTTGTAAGAATGTGAGCATCAGAGATGATTACTTCCTCCCACTCGGTCTCCTCCATTTGCCCTCCATCAGGCACAGCATTCAGCAGCTGGCTGACCGCTTCAGAGCTTTCCAGGGCAGACTTGGAGGTACTCTCACCAACAGCCGCTGGCTCTGAGAACACTGACTGCTGACCTCTTTTAGTTGCAGGAGTTTTCAGAGAAGTGCTTGAATTAGGCTCAGATTTGCTTTTTGGTTGCTTTTCCTGGAAACAAAGAGATGATCATGTTTCAGAGGTTTAAGCTTTTGCGGGTAAGCAGGTTCCCTTCACACAGTCTGGTCTGTCCGTGCACTATCCAATGCTGGATCAAAACAGTAATATTAGGAGTGCCTAAGCAATGAACTGCACACAAGAGCAGAAAAATAACATCTTCTCCAATGGGAATGTCCCTGTTAATATTCTATCTACCCTTGGTGCAAAAAGCATTGCAGAGCAGTGCAGTCACTACACTGGATGGAAGGGAAGCCATCCAGAAGGACCTGGACAGGTTGGAGAAGTGGGCCCATGAGAACCTAATGAGGTTCAATAAGACCAAGTGCAAGAAGAACCCTTGAGAGCAGCCCTGTGGAGAAGGACTTGGGGGTCCTGGTAGACAAGAAGATGGACATGAGCCAGCAGTGTGTGCTTGCAGTCTGTAAGGCCAACTGTGTTCTGGGCTGCATTAAAAGAGAAGTGGCCAGCACGGAGAGGAGGTGATTGTCCCTCTCTACTTTGCTCTTGTGAGGCCCCATCTGCAGTACTGCGTCCAGGTCTGGGGCTCCCAGTACAGGAAGGATGTGGAGCTCTTGGAGCAGGTCCAGAGGAGGGCCACTAAGATCATCAGAGGGCTGGAGCACCTCTCCTATGAAGAAAGGTAGAGGGTACTGGGATTGTTTAGCTTGGAAAATAGAAGGTTCTGGGGAAGCCTCACTGTGGCCTTCCAATATTTGAAAGGAGTCTATAAACAGGAGGGGGAACGACTGTTTACAAGCATGGATAGCAACAGGATAAGGGGGAATGGTTTTGAACTAAGACAGGGGAGGTTTAGGAGGAAGTTTTTCACTCAGAGGGTGGTGATGCACTGGAACTGGTTGCCCAAGGAGGTTGTGGATGCCCCATCCCTGGAGGCACTCATGTCCAGGCTGGATGTGGCTCTGGGCATCGTGGTCTGTTGGTTGGCAACCCTGCACATAGCAGGGGGGTTTAAACTGGATGACCATTGTGGTCCTTTTCAACCCAGGCCATTCTGTGATTTTCTAGTTTTATTTTTAGACACTTGGAAGAAACAGTCATCCTTAAACTCTCTCAAATATCACTATTAGCACCAATACCACAAATTCATCCAAGGGCCCACGTGGCATGCTCTCCTTTCCTATCTTCATCTCTCTGATGCTGCCTGTTCTTCCACACTGCTGGAAAACTAAAGCTCCATAGACACAGAACGTGCAGCTATGGGACAGAACTGCAGCGTAGTGCAAAGGGCTGTAGTAGCACTCAGAAAAACATGCATCTGAGGGAGTCAGGAAACACAGAATTACATGTGAAGGTTTTTCAACTTTAAGTGAAGTTTTATCTTCAACACTGAAGCTACAGAAGTCATGCATTGGAGTCAATGAAGATGGAGCACTGAACAAGTAATCCACAAATGCTATCAGAGGAATGGAGTCAAGAGTTTCTGGCATGATAAACATATGGATTCTAAGCTTTCTACAGAGGTTATACTCAGGAGAATATTCTAGTTCTTGACAAACAGATGTCTTCTAACCTAATCTTTTATCTAAGGAACAGGAAGGTGTGTATATATTCAGTTTCTGTTTTACTGATGTTATTACCAGTCTAAGAAAAAATTGCTGATGCATATTTTTCTCCAAGACGTGACACCATAAGTGGAACTGTTTACACAAACATGTTCCCAGAAGAGCAGAATAAAACTGAAAAAGAGAAGGAAAACTTCCCTCATTTTAGTTCTAGTCAGCATAGGATTTAACAGTGCAGATATGACATATTCAGGCAGAACTGTGTATTTACAATTAGCCACCTATCCACTTCAGCATGTTTACAGCACCAAAGATAATAAACCATCATCACTAAGTGTTTCCCAGCACATGGAAAGCCCAGCAATCAGCTCAGACACTACCCAGGGTGTAATCTGTTTGAAGAACTTTTTGTAACACCTAGTGCATGTAGACACTGTAGCAGAAATGCAAGTCAGGGCTTGAACCAGTGATTGAGCACCTGGTGGGAAGGCAGGGCCAGCTCAACAGAGGTCAGGTGTATGCAATGTACCTGAGTGACCAGAACGGGTGGAGCCAGGATCCACCCCTTCCCAGACATCATTTAAGGGTTGGCAGTGGAAGTAAGGGACTCTTACTGGAGATCCCTGTGAGACCTTCCAAACTTCCAAAGGTAAGCAGCTTTTTTTCCTTTGTTTCTGTGCCTACAGCTGTTGCATTTCAGTAAGTTTTCGCTTGTTGCATCCTAGGACTTTGTTACTATGCTGTTGTTACTGTACTTTCCTTTGTTTTACAAGACACAAAATGAAGTAAGTTCAGGACAAATTAATATAAAGCCATGGAAGTTTTTACAAAAAATATCTCTTAACTTGAGCCCAAGGAGTCTTATTTCAGACTAATACAACAAACCTATCTGTTCAGAGCTGAATAATTATGTTTACACTGCTGTGGTTTAAGGAGCAAATTTGAGAGCATGGCTAATAGAGATGCAAGCATCTTAAATATTGCATGGAGAAAGACTTTTTCCATTCAGCAACTCAATTTTGTCTGAAATCAAAGAGAATGAAAAGCAAATTTACCTTTGGGATCCATTTCCCTCCAAGGAAGTTTCCACATTTGGGGCATTTTGGTGGCTTGTGCCTGGTCACATAAGTAAATGAACAGCGAGGATTGGTGCAGTTCCCATGTCCCCTGCGAGTGTAGGTGGTTGTCTGAAACAAGAGTTGTCAACAATTTCTCTATAGAGTTGAAAAGACACAAAGCTGTGCACATCACTCCCTTTTTCCTAGAAAGTACTTCACAAATATTATCTACCAATGGCCTGCCCTGCACTATTATTCATCAGCTAACACTCATTTGTATCGTGAGTCAGCACCATAATTACACTGAATTCAAGTGTTCTGTCTATACACAGACATTCAGTATTAACAGAACTTGGGTTAAATTGCAGAGCAGAGATAAGCAATGCATATAACCTACAGCTGAAGCTAACCTTGCACTTCTAACAATGAATTTGAGAAAGTCATAATATAATGGTACAAAAATAATTCAAACAGCAGTCCACAGCAAGGGAAGATTTAAATGATGCATTCATGTTGGAGTGACAGTGTTTGAAGGAAACAAATGCTTGTGATGTGGAGACAGTTTTCATCAGTAAGGTAATTGTTGTTGTATGCAGTGCTAAAATACTCCCTGGTGCTTTACTGTCACTCACTATAAACTACTGTAATACCAGCAGCACCATCAGGCACTATTTACAAGACAAATAAACCAGAGTCTTTCATTTTTTGCCAAGAACACTAAATCTACACATGGAGTTTGTCAGCACATCATTTTTCAGGATTCCATACTGCCACTCCTGAGGGAGCTGTTGTGCTGTCAGCCTGTAACTAGGTCTTTTTCCTAGAAATACAAGTGCTGCAATTAAGGAAAATAGACCATTTAAGCTAGGTGCTTCTCAGGAACAAATACCTGAGGTATCTCCATCTGAGAGACTTAGGCAAACATCACACTAAGAACTTCTACAAATATCTGCAGTGTTCCACCTGCTAGAAGCATGGGGATGTAAGACAACAGGACTTCCCACCACCTTATACAAGAAGCTGCTATTCTGACTGTACAGTGATGTCTCCCAGTGGCTACAAAATGCAGGTGGCTGGAATGACAGACAAGATTATAGAACTAACGCCACTCTTCCTTGTGCAATAGTCCAAACTTTTTTAATGTGAATTTTCAAAACCTGAGGTCACTGCTCATCTACCATCACATGGCTAAAGCGACAGCCATCCAAGTGACCAGGGAACTTGTTCCTGTCACAAGAGCAGACTTTTGCTCTCAGAAACTACTGTTGATCGGATGGGTTGCAACACCACTATGTACTCTGTCTGCTTCCAAGAACTTGAGGACAAAGGCAACAGGATTATAAAACGCCCTGGGAGGTTGGAGACCTCCATTTGCCTGCACAAGGCATAAAGCCAGGGATAAGAAATGCATTAACTGATGTGGTGGTTTCAGGTTGGACTATGATCAAACACTTTCTACTCTGGCAGAAGGCAACCCTACAGTAATATATCCATATCTTGAAATACAAGACTGGGTTTCTTACCAGTTTAATTGATGTTGGGTTCTCCACAACAGAATGAGCTGGCAAGGGTAACATAATGAACTGTGTAGCAGGTGTGGAAGAGCTGCTCTCTTCAGTATCCTAAAATGAAGTGTAAGGGAAATTACATGCAGCAAACAAGGCATGAGGTGGTCTGCATTCCACCCTTTCACAAACACTACAATTGAACATATACCTCTATGAGGATCTATGAGACCAGAAAGCAGGAAGGAAGAGTGACCATTTCAAATGCAACAGCCTTACCCTGTCTGCTCTGTAAGTTATCTAACTCTTTACATCTTGAAACTGTTGAAATCAGCAGACCCAAAACTTCACAGAATGTTTTCTGTAACAGATCCCTAACACCTCAAATTACATGGACTCCCTTTTCACTGCAACCAAGAGAACAGTTCTCAAGAGCACAGAGGTAGTATATTTCTTAACCCAAAATCTTGAAATACAACTGTGGAAGCCACCTCAAGTATTGTTAAAATAATGAATAATTAAAAAAATGACCTTTGACCAATCATCTCAAGATATGAATGACAGCAGCATGTAGCAGAGAACCTGCAGGCAGAGATGCAGTAAACACTCAGAAAAGCTGCTCGCTGCCATGCTACTGAGCAATACAAGATCTCCTGCAGCCACTAAGAATCTCAAAACATGATAAACAGCAGTCAGACACTTCTGGTGAGAAGCTGACAGGATTTGGAGCATTACTTGAGTAACTCACCCTCCCAGTCACCACAGCCACCACAGACACACCATCGGGAATCTGAGGACGGGCCACAGCGATGCTCCCATTGGAGATGTCTGCAGAGCCACTGACCAGAGTCTCTTCAATAACGACCTGAGTTGTCTGATATGGCTGCCCTTCCATTTCCAGAGAAGCCTCATCCAAAAGGACATCTCCAGCCACTTTATCTGTCATAGGCCCAACATAGTGAGAGAGAACCTCCGATGCCACCACTTCTTCCACAGCCTCTGACTGACTGAAGGAAGTGGTCTCCTCTGACAGTCCTTCAATGGCAATGCACTGCTCAGAAATGCCAACGTGGCTCGAGTCCACAGAAAGGACATTTTGCACAGCATTGTGGGAGGTATTTGTGATGTTGGTGGAAGCTGTCCCTTCAGGTGCTGCCTGACCCTGTGTCACATGCAGCTCCAGTGACTGCCTGCTCCTGTCCTCTTGAAGAGTGGTTTTGGGAATAATTATATAATCTGAGCGAGGGAGAATCTTGCGGAAACCTGGAATGTCTGGAACTACCGTAGTTCGAGAGGAAACCTTGGAGTTCTGTTGGCAAAAACAGAATGAAACAAATGAATTAGAGAAAAAGGGGGATTCAGTTCTCAGTCCTGCACGAGTATTTTAGTGCTGAAAGCTCAAATGTCTCCCTCAAGTATTCTACTAGAGTTCTCCACGTGACAGCTTGGAGTCCCTCTCAGCCCTCACTTTATCATCCACTTCACCATCAATTGCTCTAACACAAAAATAACTACCATTCCCATCAGCATGAACTGACGTGTCTGTCTCGGATTTCAAAACGTTATCCCTTGACTGAAGAGAAGGCGAAAGAAATACAGTGCCTCACACTGCTTCCATACAGGCAGTCTGAAATAAAAATACAAACTGGAATCTGCAGTTAACAGTTCTCTCACAGTGCTATGTAAGTATTTAAGTGCCAAAACAAATACAGCCATTGGCCTCTCTCTTCACAAAGCAAAGAATGACAGAAAAGGTGACTTACTGGGTCCAGTCCCTCTTTCTCCAGCTTGGCTTTCTCCAAGTAATAGCTTTTTTCAGCCACGCTGAGCAGCCTCCAACTCTCACTGATCTTTTTGTTGATTTCAGATTGAGGGAGGTGGGGAAGCTCTTGCTGTACTTTCAAGTAAATATCATAATAGTAGAGGAGGTAAGCAGATCTGAAATGCAACAGACTGAAATATTAATGTCATTCTACATCAACTGTGAAAAAGAAAAGCACAAGGTTTTACACTGGTTCAAGGTCAAACTACAAGTACATGAGATACATTTCTGCATGTAAATGAATTTTTAAAACTGGATGAAAGTGAAGATTCTGAAGGGAACTTATGCAATAAGGAGCAAGACTCAGAGTCACATGATTAAAACTTAAGAACAAGCAGTGGCAGCACTCACAAAGGCATGCCAAAAGCCCAAAGGCTGCCTTTTTATGTATGTTTTGCACTGATGTGTTCCAACTGTACTGCAAAGTTTGTTATCAACTGGTAGAAGGAAAACTGTCCCTACACTCAAGATTAGGTTGAATGTTAGGGGGAAGTTCTTTACTATGAGAGTGGTGAGGTGCTGGAACAGCTGCCCAGAGAAGTTGTGGATGCCCCATCCCTGGAGGTGTTCAAGGCCAGGTTGGATGGGGCCCTGGGCAGCCTGGTCTGGTATTAAATGTGGAGGTTGGTGGCCCTGCATGTGGCAGGGGAGTTGGAGATTCGTGATCCTCGTGGTCCCTTCCAACCTGGGTCATTCTGTGATCATAAAGAAATGAAGGCAGGAAGAACTTACCTGGGTTTTTTGGCTTTTTCTCCATGATCACCAGGACTTTTGTATTTTTTTTTCTTCTTGGAAGGCACTGGTGATGTGTAAGTGTAGGTGTCCTCTATTTCCTCCATGACCACAGTTACTTCAGTGCCATCATACGGAGCCTCCATTGCTAAAAACACACGCAGTGTCAGGCATTCACCTACATCACCTACACAGCACTTTCCTCCCCACAAACACTGCTCTTTATCACGCTCGCCAAACGACAGCGTCACTTGAAGGGTCGATAACAATTAAGATAATGACAGCTTCTGACCAACTTTTAGAAGAGAACGCCTTTGGCAGCGTTCTGTGCAGCTCAACACAACCACAGCGTGCGTGCGCTGAGAGCTGCAGCGCCCCGGGAACCTCTGAGACAGCTTTGGGGATGCAGGAGGATTCCCATCCCCAGCCGTGTGACCGAGCAGCGCGGAGCCCTCCCTCTCCCGCGGCACAGCGACGCAAGGCCTCGGCTCACCGGGCAGCACCGGGACGCAGCCGCGGTCACATCCCAGCCGGGGCGCGGCGGAACGGGGTGGGAAGCGGCGGAGCCGGGGGCCGGGATGGGGGCGGGCAGGGCAGGCCGCGCATGCTGTGCCGGCCGCGGGGGCAGCAGCGCCGCTCCGGACCCGTGGCTCCGCGGCCGCCCGGCGCCGCCGGAAGTGCTTACAGAACTGCTTCCGGGTCGTGGTGGGGCGGGGCCGCGAGGTCAATAAGCGGTGCCGGGAAAGGGATCCGTGCCTTTGGGTTCTTGCTGTGGGCTCTCGGCTGGGATGGGAAGCGATGGCACTGAGGGAGGAAAGGCGTTGGGGTGCCTGAAGCTGGCATAGAGCCTCTTCGTAGCCCAGCCCTGCCTGCTGTCCCTCGGTCACGGCCGGCGGGGAGCAGGCCTGGCAGCTGCGGGTCGGGGAGCCCCGGCTGGGGGTGTGACGGTCTGGGCCGGGCCGGACGAGGAAGAGCTGTGGGAAGAAGGATGTGCTGGGAGAAATTACAAAAGGGCAGAGTCTGCCGGCAGCACCTGGTAGATGTGAGAGCTGCGGGAGCCCCGTTTCGTAGCAGCTTTTCTGTCACAAAATGCAGTGTCGCCCTGGGGGCAGCCATCACTCCAACTGCCCGGGGGATCTTTGGGTCCCAGCATTTCTTTACCAGTGTTTCTCCTGCAGATTTGAAGTGGAGACGTTGCTGTACACAACAAATTGTCCCCTTGCTTTACATGAGTACTGAAAGATAAGCATCAGGCTCCCCCAGGGAAGAAATAGCCTTATAGGGCTATATGCACTCACGCTCTTCTTCCAACTGTTGGGAAAGTGAGATATGGGATATCTCAATCCAACTCCTGGCTCCACAGCTATCACGCAGCTATTGTTCTAACACGTTTTTCAAATTATGCATTTTCTGTTTTCTTTTTTTCTCTGTGCATGTCTATTTCTGTGTTTTACATCACGCATTCTAACTTTAGAGAAATGTAAACCACATCTATCTTCTGTCTTGGATCTGGGAGAATAAGGGCTCCTCTTGTCTGGTAAGTCGTTAGTAAAGCCCACAAAGTAGTGATATGACAGCCAGTATTAAATCTGCAACTGGTTATTTATCTTCCTGATGTTCTGCAACCATTTATGTGGTCTGCTCGTGTTTATGTGTGATAATTGGTGGCAAATTGTCTGTTCTGTGTCAAACATTGGGCAGTTTAATCCAAACCGGTACTTTTCCAAAGCTCTGTACTTTTATCCAGATCAATAAGCGGCCGCTAGAGCTTTGTTGGAATTATTACCTAGCCAAATATTTGAAAGAAAAGGCTGCTTGGCTTCACAAGACTAATGAACTGAAAGGAAAAAAAAAAAAAAAAAAAAAGAGGAAAAGTGTGAAGGAAAGCAGCCATGCTTCCCTTGTTTTTCACAGAGGAGCTTCTCACTGTGTGTGTGTTGTCAGTTGTGTTAGAAACTCAAACTGTTTCCTAACTTGGGCATTTTGATTCTTTCATGGACACAAAGTTTTATCTCAGAAAAGTGATATTAACAGCATGTACATCATTTTAACTGTGCTTCAATAGTACTGTGAGGAAGAGGAAGCTGCTCTGCAGCAACATCTGTTGTGATCCTGAGGAGAGTTCCAAAGGGATGCCCACTGCCACAGGGGGAAATGGCATTCTGCCACCAGGGCACCCTGTGCACCATTACCTTGAGAAATTAAAGGCTGGAGATTAAACTCACTATTTGTTTCACTGATAAAGTACAAGAGCTACTTTGAAGGAGTTCAAAAGACACCCAGGCATGCTGGACTAAAGCAAGTACCAGCACTTGATTTTGAGTTGTCTTCAGAGTCTGAGATATTTTATCAGGTTATTATTATTTTCATCCATCTGGAGCACTCACATCTGGTAAGCCTTGCAAAACTCAATCCCACCTCCTGCTCAACCAACATCACATCATGCAGTTGGGGCTGAGGCACCTCTTTCCAGTGAGTGACATGCAATTGGACATCATCTCCACATCAGCCCTCAAGCAGCACTGCTTTCCAAGATGCTCTCATGAAACCCACCTCTGACTAAAGCTATTGGCACTTGGCACAGCAAGTTCCACGAACTCCAAGAATTCAGTTCCACAGTGGAGAGCTCCAATCACCACCAAGAACAGCGCTATCCACAACCATGTGGGGGTGTGCTCTGGTCACCAGGGACAGTTTTCATTCACCCTTCTAAGCCAGTTTAAATCTCCCTGAGGTGCACAAGGATGCTAGATTGGTGACCGTGGGGATGTGCTGCCATCACACCAAGTTCCAGCATGGCTCTGCATGCATCTGCTGCAGCTCCCAACCCACCACACTGCTCAGCCTCTGTGCTGATGGTAACTGCAACAACATGGCAGAGCAGTTGGAGGAACGGAAGCAAAGAAGGAATGAGCATCTGGCTGCCTGCATAAGGGTAAAGGAGCCCCTGTTCCATCAGAAATGTTGCAATTAAGATGTTACTATTTTTAAAATGGCACCAGTGGAAAAGCAAAAAGGGATTTGTTATATTTCAGATGAATTCTGGTATGTTCGCAGGGACAAACATTGGGGATCTCAGAAATGTTAACATCTGCAAAGTTGCTATTTATATACACAAGTTTCTGGCTCTGGAACACGGTTGCCTTTGTCTTTTTGATCAGGTAATTCATGGCACAAATTCATCAAACAAGAGAAGGGACCAAAAGCGATAGGCTTCGTTCAAATTAGGTAGCAGAAAGTATCTTCTTGTTTTACCCAAATCAAAGTAACTGTTAAACAGAGAGATACTGTACCAGCCTCCCATTGAATCTTCCAGGATCATAAAAATCTCATTTTCTCAGCGAGGCTGCTGTAGCCTCACATCGTGCTTGAAGTTTTCTGTATTTATAAAGCAGAACCTGCTTCTCTTCTTTGAAATTGCATTGGTTTCCGTGTCACCATTTAGCCAAATCTATTAAACAGTAGTCAAACTAGCACGAAGTAAATGCATTTCTTTCAAAAGAGGTTACATAAAGCATTTTTGTGACGTTCACTTAAATTTTCCTAAACAATAAAATCAGAACAATGATTCACATTACTTCTCTATTCTAGTTATTTCAGTAAAATTGTTACCAAGGCTTAGAGGTGCCCTTCACATTTTAAAGTAAAATTCAATCTCTACCCAATTTTCTACAAAATGAGGTATAACAGTATTATATGTTAGGTGATGAAAATAATAAGAGGCACAGTTAAAAGGACTAATACTGTCTAGAGAGTTTATGAAGAAGAGAAACTGAGCTGGGGATGTGCTTGTGTAATGGCAAACTGCACTGAAATGGCTGGTTTCCCATTGCTTCTTTAACAAAGTTGTTATCTTCAGGGCAGTGGATGAGAGGATGAGAGAGAGCCAGCACACGGCCTGACAGCTCACCCCCCTGAAGGCACATGAATTCTGTCCTTCTGGCAGTTAGCAGCTGGGAAGGGTTATTATTTTCCAGTATTCATGCTGTGCTGCTCTCTCTGACGGAACGTATTGCTTTATTTCTTTACAATTGAGTTAAGTAGCATGTAACACTCTTCTGACATAAGTCAAGATAACTGCCTCCATTCTTTGTTGAACACGGTAATGAGTTTGATCCATGTTGTGTTTTTTTGTCTGCTGTTCCCTGAGCAATGTGTTTGCCCAGATCCTTTCACAGCTTGTGAAGTACAGAAATGTGTTTCAATGAGTGGTAAATACATTCGTTAGGAAGGAGCTGCCACTTACAACGTCATCACCTTGGGAAATTAGGGTGTCCTTTGTGCCCAGCCTGTTAAGTGTGATAAGCTTGACTTTATCTATGTGGTTCTCAAAGGAAACACTACTTGAAGACTTGGCATTTGGGGCTGCAGCTCTAATATGACACTCGAGCAGCAAGAGTAGAGAAATTTACTCTAGACAGTAATTAAATACTGTGTATGAGGCAGGTAAACAGTGCTTCTTATTTCCCATTTTGATGATACAAAAATGAAACACAAAGAGATGAAAAAGAATACCTGAAGGTCAGTACTTCATGATCCTGCTGTAATTGCTCATTGTTTGACCCAGAGCATTGATTCTAACCATATCTCTGTTTGGGAAGGGAGTAGGGTGAAGAAGTGGTGCCAGGTTAACAACTGTGCAATAATGGAATTTATAATGACTTTCTCTATGTCCTACAGCTTTCAGTGTATTTGCATCCCTGAGAGCTCAGGGCAGTCTTGTGTAATAGTTAAGATGCTCTAAAAAGTGAGCCTTGTTGGAAGGGCTCTTGCACTGTCCCCACAGGACAAGATTACAACAGAGGAGACTTTCAGTTTGACCCAGACTTGCTGTCCCTGAGCTCGTGTTTGTACCCATAACGAGCAAAGTATCATCTGAGACAAAAGGCACAGCCAAGCCTTTCCAGTCTCATCCCTACCAGCATGACAAATGGATTGATATCATGGGTCAGCAGTTGGACTATGGGTTGATGTTTGGACTAGATGGTCATAGTGATCTTTTCCAAGCTTAATAATTCTCTGATTCTATAATGATTCTGTGATTCTCAGCTCAAGACCACTGAACTGGATTCAGACAGACATCTATTCCTATTACAGTGGAACTGTAGCATTCAGCATCGTTACCCATAGCCACAGCAGTCACCAGAGCAGCAGGAATCCAGGGTGGCCCTGCACAGATTCTGTCTCAGGAACACTCAGCCAGCAAGGAAAGGGAATCTTCAAATTCCAGATGAGGTCGTAGTCCATATTTTCTGGCTGAAGATATCTGTCTTTATCTGCAATGCAGACAAAAGACCCACGTGGCACACACAAGGCTGTAAATGATTTGGTGCAGGAAGAGGTTTGGTACCTGCATAACTGCCAAAACTCAGGGGCCTCACTGTATCACAGCAGTGCTGGCCCTCACCCTGCTGGATTAAAGCTGACATGGGAAGGCTGACAGGAGGTATGGCCACGTCTCCCTGCAGTGTGGATGTGCAGTAAAAGGCTGCCCAGCAACAACATCTCTCCTGTCATGGCACTGCTTGTTGCCTGCACCAAAGGGTAGGACTTGTCTGGGTAGAAGACAGCAGATATTTCTCAAGAGCTGAGCTGAGATTACAGACTGAGCTCTCTCAGGGCCTGGGAGCCTTGATAAAATAATTTCAAAGAACTCAGATACCAGTACAGTGAGTCTGGGACATACAGACCAAATGTGAATCCCCCCAGAGTCGTGTTTGTTCTCCTTCTGCAGCATGTAGGAAAACAACGAGGATCTGGTTTGTTCTCTGATGTCATGGTTGCAGTAAGTCTGGATGCTGACAGTGTGCACTGCTGCTGGACCTTGAGCAGCACGAGCAGGACAGAAATCTACCCGGGTCCTGTCAGCAGTACCTGGTGGTTTATTGCCACACTGGTGATCTGCAGCATGGGCTGATGTGCCACACAGCCCTGTGGAGGGCCAGTTTTCCTGCATACGAAAAACAGCTCCAGCTGTCAGGTACTAAAGGTGCAATTCTGGTTTCTTGAGGTTAATCTAGTTTCAAACAGAGCAACACAGAATGGAATCAAGTACCATGATGGTTCACATTTTTACAGTGACTTTCAGAACAGCTGCATCTCCTGGTGTTTCCGACAGCATAATGCCACATCTCTGTGCAATACTATTAATCTTCTCTCCACTCTTTCCACTGAAGAGAACATCAAAGCTCCCACACCTGCACCTCCTACCTGGGTCTAGTCATACCCCCCTACTTCTGATACACTGCGCTGTCCTGGGAGAAATAAATGAATTGACTCCTTCCTCAGGTGCACACTTCTCACTGGACCAGCTCAGAAACCTACCTGCCTGCTCTCTCCCCCCTTTCCTTGGTTCTGTGCTCCATCTTGAGCTCCAGCCCTCCCTTATCACATCCAGCAGTTGTCTGTTGATTACAAGAATCAAAAGAACATTGAGCCGTGCACAACGGAGCATTTCTAAATGCATGCAAGTCCCTGGCAAGCAGAACTTGGTGCCAGGGCCTCTTTTCACAGAGTTCCTCGCAGTGACTTGGCACATTCATCACTCTGAAGGGTTCCTGAGCAGCGCACAGAGAGACACAGCCAGGCTGCCTCCAGCCCTCAGCCCCGGTGCCTTCCAGCAGTTCTGTGAACTACACAGTGGGATGGGATCCAGGAACCAAGTCACACCTCCAAGCTTGTTTGAACAAGTGTTGGCATGCTTATGCAGTCCATTCTGAAAATACACCGCTACCAAATGCCAGCCAAAGTCACTGCTTTGTCACACTGGAGGGGCTGCACCTGTTTGTTAATGCCAAAAGGCATCTGCCTCACACTGATTAGCACAAGCGTGTGGGAATAAAAGGAATAACTTCTCTCCAGCATGGTGCTAACTGTAAAACTCAACAACTCTCGGCTATTATAAAAGAGCCACAAATAACCCGGAGAGTTTATTAATACCACATTGTGCTAGCCTATTGCCAACAGTGCTGTAGAGAGAGAACATTTCAAGTCAAAATAGATCGATTAAAAGTGCGTATTCTTGCACTTCTGGACTGCAAACATCAGATAGGCACAGGGTTATAAACACTGAACAACAAAAGTATGGTACATTTTGTTTAGGAACCATATTTTTACTTGCTTATATAAATCACCACTTATCTGAGTGAATAATGGAGGAATTTTGCTGCAGAACTGGCATTCTGGTTTTTGAGCTGGCCCAGTGAGGAGTGTGCACACGAGGAAGGAGTCGATTCATTTATTTCTCCCAGGACAGCGCAGTGCATCAGAAGTAGGGGGGTATGACCAGACAAGATAAGAGGACTAACAAAGGGAAAATATAAGCTGAGAAACAAAACCTGGCTTCCTAGAGCAGGATCCATTCATCTGTGCAGCAGCCCGATAAGAAACCAGGGGAACACATGGCTTGGGCTCTGGGAAACAGAGCTCGAAGAGACAAAGCGTTAATGAGTGCATTGGAGAGAAGGAGGAGGTTCTGCTCCAGCTCTGCCATTTGACAGGGCTCTCGGGCAGCTGGAGCCATGCCCATTAGTGCTTGTTAATGAGAAATGAGACTGAGCTCAGACTTGAGATTTGTCTTTAATAGTGGAGAAGTAGGTTAAAAATTCCAGGGGGGACAGGAGCACCTAGGGAAAAAGAAAGGGGTGGGCTGCTAGCACTCATGTAACAGCCAACGCCTTTTGGGGTGTCCTCTGGAGGAGGGTTGCTTTAAGATATGGTTCTATGCAAAGCCAATTACCCCAACACCCTACAGAGCCCGAATTCAAGAAGTGCCCATGGGATAGAAAAACAAAGAATAGAGAAAAATAAATGTCTGCGCTGGTAATTGATGGATGCAACATGGATCACAGGTCAGTGAAACATGACCCAGTCATAAAAGCCAGCACAGCGGGCTGCTCTCTGGCTTCCTAATCTGGCTGTGACAGATGCTTTGTCTCAGCAGGTCACCTCCATGCTGTCCCTAAGTTTTGTTTTCTGATTGCTAGCGTATGCACATGATGTTGTAAATCTGCCCCGTGGCCAGGCTGCCCCACGCTTCTCTCCTGTCTTCTCACTGATGCTGCAGCCCAGGGTTTGTCATCATCCAAGTGGCTTCAGCAGAGGAAACCCCTTCTTCCAATTGCATCTCTTAGCAGTTGTTAGGGAAGGGAACACAAGACAGCATAAGATAATGATACAAATTTGCTAAAAAAAAAAGTGCTTTTTTAATTGCCCTCCTTGGAATGTAAAATAACAGGGGTGGTATTTCTTTAGAATTATTCTTGTCCAAACCATTCAGAAATACTTGTGAGCAGTGGAATGAAGACTGTGGTCATTCTTCAGAAGCATCCATGCTCTCTATTGAATGCAGCAGATGCTGCTGGAAAGTTCCAGGCACTGTGGCCATTAATATCCTTCCCACACCTGAATGCACAGACCATTGCTTTTTTAGAGAATCTGGAATAAGTATTTACCTCCGAGAAGTCAAAATCTGCTTTTCCCTGAGTATTTAAGAGCACTTTCCAAGGAAGATCTGCCTTCTTAGTACACGACTGATGGAAACACAATTATTAA